CTGTGCCCGCCCTCCTGTTACATCTCTCATGCCAGGCCCAGCAGGCTGCGGGGAAATTCCTGCCTGTGGAGAAGGGGAAACAGCCAGTTTGGGAAGGGGGGCAGGAAGAGGGAGGGAAGTGGCTTGAGGTGCTGAAAAATCCACAGGCTGCTGTGCCCGCCCTCTTGTTACTTCTCTCATGCCAGGCCCAGCAGGCTGCGGGGAAATTGCTGCTCTTGCAGTCCTGGCTGCTCCAGAGCTCGCTCACATGTCCCCAGCTGCCCTCTCTCCCTCCTTCCACACCTCGGGAATGAGCTAAGTATTGATGCCTGCTGTGCTACTCCTGCCAGCCTTGGAATTTCAGTCTTTTTGTTTGGTTTGAGTTTTGCAGCCGCTGGATTAAGGGAAGATGATGGAGCTGAGCTGGCAGCTGAGGTGTTAGGGCAAAATCTGGGGGGCTGTTGAGGGACTGCACATGGGGAGCTACAGCTGGAGCCAGGCTTGGCATTGAAATCCCACTGTAGCTGCTTCAGAGCTCTTTTCTGCAGGGCTCTGGTTAATAAACACCCACTAAGAGAAATTGTATTTCTGTAAATCATACAGGTAGTGGACTCCCATTCAAATCTGAAGTACCTTGATATCCTCATTTCCCCAGCCACCACTTTTCTATCTCTCATTTCATCTAAGAATTAGGGTAAGTGGGGTGGGAGGATGTGACCCCATGCAGTGCCCGTGTGCTTTGGGCATGGCTGTGAGGAGGTGACAGCACAAGGAGGTTTGGCCTTTGCCACACTGACCTGTCCTGTACGTGGTGTGGGAGGATGTGCATGGAAGGACTTCTCCTGCCGAGCCTGTCAGGGAATGGTGCCAACTTTCTGGTTGTGCTACTTGGCAAGTGCCCGACCAAGGGCTGGGCTGGACAGGACAGAGCCTGCTGTAAAGGAGCTGCTCCGATGAGTGAGGAGAGCCTTTTGGAAAGTCATCCTCAGGCTCACAACAACTTAATTAAGTGTTTATTAGGATAAAACATTGCCAGCAGCCGTTCAGGTGCCTCCTTGCCTTATTCCTAAAAAGGTTTTCTGTCCTTTCATTTGTGAAGCAGTTTCAAGAGAAAACAGCAAGGTTCCTTTTTGAGTATTTTACACTGAGGACTGAGGGTTTCTCATTGAAATTGGAGGGTGGTGCAGATTCACCTGGCTCCTGGCTGGGAGCTGGAAGGCATTGTCCAGGGGGTCGTGACAATGCATCCAGTGATTTATCACATCTCTTTGGCACAGCCCCTAAACCAGTAACACTTTCTCTTTTGTGTCCTCAAACCAGGGTATTTGGTGTTTGTGCTTGCAGTTTATGAATGGAGCTGTACAGTGTAACATCTGGGAAGGCATTTATTATTTGTTTGTCATCTGTTAAGTTCTGTGTGGATCTCATTTTGTAGCATAGTGAGAATTTAGTTTGAACCATGCAGTGATTTCCTTGTGCAGGAGGAGCTCAGCCCTGGACAGCACATCAGGGAGCACAGGAATCACTTCTGTTTCCTGCTCTTACTGCTGGTTAGAAGCAGAGCCTTCTGAGGGCTGTGCTTTTTGTGCAGAAGGCTTTAAATAGTTCTGATGTGGCTTGTACAATTTCTGCAAAATCTTTTCTGCCTGGGAGAAAAATTGGTACAAGTAGTGATATCTGTAGGAGTTGCTTAAGTCCTCTGCTTGCATTGGTTCACTTCCCAGTGAGCAGGGAATTACAAATAGCACATCCCTGGTGGCCTTGAGGCTGCTGCTTCACTGCAGAGGTGAACATGGAACAGAAGGGGTTTTTCCCCCAGCTGTAGTCCTGAGAATTGTGAGCTCTTTCATAGGTATGTCCTGAGTAAGTCTTCTCCTGAAAAAACCTGCTGTGCAGTACAGACGACTGATGACAAGCCTGGGGTGCTGATAAAACACAGCTCAGCTTTGTTACCTGTGCCAAGTTGGCTTCTTGTCTTCTGCTGTCCTGGACTCAACTTCTCCCCTAACCACGTTGAGTGTCTTTTAACACCAGTCTGTTCCAGGAGAGTGTTTCAAAGAGCCCTGAAGCTCCCCTAGGCTCTGGCAAGCCAGATTTTGTGAAGTATTTCAAAGCCCACGTTATGCTTGGAAGCCATGGAGCTGTCAGCAGGGTGAAATCAGTAGTTGTTTAGAGCCTTAATTGCCCTTTTCACAGATGCCTTTGTTACCTTTTGTGGTTTTGAAGTGTCTCAGACTGGGGTCTGCTGTTAGTGTCCCACCTGAGGAATCCTTTTTCTTTGTATATCAGGGACGGTATCCAAAGGTGATCTTGCCCTGAAATAGGATGCTTTAGGTGAAGATCATGCCAGGAACTGTCCAAACAGGGTGGACCCAAATGGAGCAGCCATCTGAGTGTGGCACAGAGGATGTCAGGCCAGTGATTGCTCTCCTTTTTTGTCCATGTAGTGCATCACAGGCACCAAAATCAGCATTTGCTGAATTTAGCATTAGAGCTACTTGGACTTTCCCACGAATTTGTTGCCTTTCCTCCCAAGATTTTCTTTACTGCTTGAATGTCAAAGCAAGAGCTTTGTTGTCTGTGTGTGTATTATGGGTTTCTTTTCTGGACACTGATGCATCTGGGGTTAGAATTTAAGGCAGGTGATGCCAGGGGTGCCAGTAGTGCCTTGGCTGCACAGGGGGTGTCCCCACTTCTGGATTTGGCATGAGCTCTTGTCTCCATGGAGCTGCTGTTCTCCCAGCAGTGCTGATGGCCATCTCCTGCCCTGCGGGAGGTGCTGCCCTCCCTGCCTGACCTCCTTGTTCCACAAGAATGATCTGCTTTGCCACATTCTTCAGCTGTTCCAGCCCTTTGTATGGGAAATTACTTTCCCTTTCCCTAGTCCTACCAAGTTACACTTAAAGCCTGTGGTTAATGGCCCAAAACAAGGCTCCCCTGGCCTTAGGAGAGAAGGTGGCCTCCTGGGAGGATGCACCTGATGGGAATCTCTTTAGTTCTGCTGCTCGTTCCTTTCCAGGCTGGTGGCTGAGAGCTGGTGATAAGGGAAAGTGATGGAATTGAGAAGATTTTTAACCTCCTGGCCCTCTTAGCTACATGCTACATTATCCACTAAAAATAGTTGCTAATTTCACCTTATGGGGGAACCTCAGGCACAGGCTAAAGGATTGCTAATATTAGTAGTTGGCTTTGCTGATAAAATGAGCAGTGTGAAAGCTGTCTGTGAGTGCTGAATTCTTTCTCCTCCTCTGCAGCCTAACATCTTTTAACAGTTTTCTTCTGTGGTGAGATTATAATGGGAGGAGGAAAATTAATTTTTATCATTAATAGTACTATTAGTATTTTTTTAAGTGTCCTTAAGATAACGTGGTGTTTCTCTAGTTCAGGCTGTAAGAAACTATGTAGCTTGAGAACTTTGAGAGGATTTATTTGTCAACAAAAGCTAGAAAGGATCAGTCAAAATTTGAACTTATTATTCAAATGAACTTATTATTTTTTGGTTTTAGCTTTAATACAAGTAGAGAACTCTCTGATACATTTTAATTTAGGATGAGTGTTTTTCTCCTTTTCAAAATTCCGTTCTTATTGAGACATCCAGAGCATGTTTGACATCTGGTTCAATTTTAGGAAGAAAGTTCTGGGAGAAACTTTGTCACTCAGGAGTGCTGAGGGTATGACAGCACAGTCTAAACATTGGGATGTGCTGCAGCCTTGAGAAAAGTCTTTCTGCCTCTGTGCATCTGCTTTTCTGGAGCTTGGAAAACTTCATTTTTTTATATCCCTGGCAGCAAAATGGAGAGGTGCCCAGAAATGTGCTCGAGCTTAGGGGGAAATCCAACTTCAACACAAGCTTTTCTAATTCTTTTACTTCTAAAAATGTAGTCAGAAAATCCTTTGCTAAAGCAGTCAACCCCAAATAATGCAGAGTTTTTAACTGTATTAATTTCCCAGTCCTTAGAGGAAGGGAATAACTAACTAGGTTTGATATTTGCTTAAGTGGAGAAAGGAAAAATAAATTCCTAACCTCTTGCTCAGGACAAGAGTTGTCTTGAAGGACAAGCCAACATCTTTTCAAAGCATGGAGCTGTTGGGATGCACGATGCCAGAGACTCTCCCATCCTGTTATCATATTCATCAACCATCCTGTTGACTAGAGAATTGTTTCTGGCTTTCTTCAAAGCCTCTAGGACTGTCTTATCAATTCTGAGAAAAGCAGGAACCCTTAAGTATGCAACAGGATGGCTGCATTGCAGAATCTGGAGCGTCTCTTGCTTTTTCCACGAACCACGGCATCTGCAAGAAAAGGGCTGGAAGATGTGCTTAAAATACCAGCTGTTCCTCAGTACTTGGGAGTTCTTTATTGCCCCTTTTTACAAACTTCTCTCCTCATGTGACTTCAGAAAGGGTAAAATCAAGGCATGAAGTGATGGTTGATTTCAACAGCATTACAGTTTCTTGCTTTCATGATTTATAGGTCTTCGAGAGTTAATCATCATGCAACTCACAGAGAGTAGTTTTATGATTTCTTAATCTTTTGTGTACACTAATTTTCTTTTGGCTAACTGCTGAAGGGAGACATTTGTTTCTGCAGGGCATCAGCTGTGTCTGAACCACAAAGCTCAGGGTTAACAGAGTCCATAATTACCCAGATGCGTGGGCTTGTTCTGTTCATCACCATTTAGAAATGTGGATCTGTCATCTTGACTTTCAAATCGAAAATGTAGCCATAGGTTAATCCCCCCTGCCTGCTCAGGTTGCACCTCTGCAGGCAGAGTGGCACCAGCATATGTTCTGCTTTTCAGTGTTTCTCTGTTTGTGTTGTTCTCAGTTATGCTTTGAATGTTTGCAGTACTTACATGGGGGGAAAAGTTTTTTACCAACAGAATGATTTGATCTAAATCACTTCATTGCAAAAGTGCAGAGCATACATTCAGTGCTTTTAACCTGTCTTCTTCATTGCTTTTTTCCTTTTTGAAGGCAAGACGCTTTTCCTCACTCCCTGTTTGTCTTTTCCCTTGCAGCATCAGCGAAAGCTTCCTCACTGTGAAAGGTGCAGCTCTCTTCCTGCCACGAGGAAATGGGTCATCCACGCCCAGGATCAGTCACAGGCGCAACAAACATGCAGGTGAGTGTGGTATCGATGGCTGGGGCTTGTCTGCTCCCTCCCCTTTCAGAGTCCACCTTTCTTGAGCTCATTCTCACCTGATGACACACGTTTGTCTGGCCCACGTGTGTATTAAAGCCTCACCTGCCAGTCTCAGTTCTGACAGGAAGGAAAGTTTTCAAAACTCTGCTGTTCAAACAGGATCATCAAATGAGTGACATCAGGGCAGCAGTCATGGCATGGTGGGGACTTGAGAATGAGTGCCCTCTAAAATACCATCCTGTAATTTCAGTATGAGAGAGGGAGGGGAGCATTGCCTTCCAAAACCTTTGTGCACTGCAGTGGGAAGCCTGAGTTTGTGATACGGGGTGAATAATGGTCCTTCCTAACCTGAAAGGAACCGGCTGTGATGGAGGAGAGGGAGGAGGCTTACCAGACTTACCTCCACGTGGGGATGAGGAAACCTCTGAGCAAAGTCAGTGTGACTTCTCAGAGGTGTGAGCAGAGTGAGTAATACAGAGTCAGTTATAATTCCACCTCCTTTATCTGCTGGAAGTTTGATTTGTGTTTTTGCTTTGACTCTCTCTGAAAAGTTGCTCTGAATATCGTAACTCAGACATTTCAGGGTAGGGTTTTTTTCATTGGCTATATGGTGCTTAATCACTGTTTTATAGGCATTAGATAGTGTGGGGATTTTCCCCTTCCATAAAGCAATTGGCAGGAAACAAAAATAAATTATTTGAGACCTTCAGGTGTTTACGAATGGGACAGAGATAGAAACAGAGACAGGAGTCAATGTGCTTTGCTAGAAGGTGACCAGGAAAAATGTGATTTGGTTTGGTTCCAAGTGTATATCCTTTTGTACTTTTGACACCATCAGACTGTCATCCACCTCTGCATGTGTCAGAGTTATGTATGTGATGAGTGGCCACCTCAAAATCTGTTTGCAAACATATTTATAGAAAAAGTTTAAGTCAGAAGGCATTTAATTATATGCTTCCACTCAAACATAGCACAAGCAGTACCCAAATTGCTTTGGTGAGATGCATTAATTACCAGTTGTCAAAAGAAAATGTTCTGAAACTTAAATTAAAGCTGGCCTTTCTGGTCAAGAATGAAGTGAAATGTCCTTTAGTATGAAAGTAGAGTCAGCAGTCTTTAAAAAGTTTCTCTTGGCCTGTCTTGGTTTTTAATCTCTCCCAAGTCCATTGCTGCAATCCAGGTCTCCCCCAGCACTGCTGCTGTGGCTTTGCCTCGCTGAGGAAACCCACAGATTTCCCTGCTGAACCTCTGCAAGGCAGCACAAACAGCTGTTGAGTGTCTCTGCTTGCCTCATCTACTCTCTCCAGCTGATTTGCATGAGGTCTGGAGACCTTGGTGGAAAATAATTGCTTGTCTAATCGGCCCAGAGCTCTTGGAAGCCAGATTGCCAAGGAAGCAAATCCGGTGTGTTGTAATTGCTTACAGCGAGGTGTTTGGTATTGCCAAGGCTGGCTTGCCTAAGGGGTGGGATTTTTGTTTTTAGAAGACTTACTTTATTCCTGTCTCTTCAGTTTACAGGATGAGATTTAATGAGGCATCAGTGCTTGTCCATTCCACAGTTTCCCTGTCTGTCAAGTGATGGGAATGCTCTAGTGGGTTTTTTATGGTGTTTGGAGGTTTCACTGAAGAGAGTCCCTCGTCTGAGTGTGCACCAAATTTCTGTGATTTTTTTCTAGTATCAGCAGACCAAGGCACCAGGGAATCAGTGTGTCACCTTCCTGAGCAAAACATCTGTGCCACCAGAATTAAACCAGTGATGTGGAGAGCGTGGCTGGCACAGTGTGTGCAGCTGCCTCCTTTCTGGGACACCGATAATCCATGCTCAGCTTCCATCCCCATATGTGTCGTGACTTATCTCTGGCACACAAAATTAGAAGGGGGTAGAGAGCAGACATAACTTTCCAGTATGGAATTGCTGCCTATAGATGCAATAGTATTTCAAGTGGCTTCAAGAGCATTTTCTAGGAAGGCTGACTGACCTTCCTGACCTGCCTTTTTAATTCATCAGAGGCGCTAGAATCCTGCGTGAAGAGTGAATGGGTAACAGGAAATAATTAATGCTCACACCCATTTCTCTAATCACACCTCCATCAATGGGAATCATTGGCAGATTGACTAGATATGGTACCAGCTGTCCGTATTCCTCTCCCTGGGTGGTCCTGTGCCACCTGGCAAACTTCTGTGGGATGGTGGGCTTGCTTTTCCACAACAAACAATGCCAGAGGAGGCCAGAAAAGGATGTAACTTCCCTGGGGGTTTTGCCATCTCTGGAATACTGTGAATCACTTTTCAGATCCCACCCTTGCCCATGCTTTGCACCTTGCCTGCCAGCTTGAGGAAACAAAAGCATCTGCTCAGCACAGGACAATGTGATAGGAAGCAGCAGCCCTGCCATGACTGCCAGCAAAGCCAGCTCTTCACAGGACAGGATGTGATATCTTTGTGCTGATTCTGGCATGTTAAAGCCTTTCCTTTGGTTTTTCTTAATCCAGGAAGTTTACAAAATGCCTTGTGTGTTTGGGGCTGAAAACCCTGCAAGTTGATTAAAGCTGGCCAAGGAAGCAATCCTTTACGTTCCAGCTCTGGAGATCCCGAGGCTGGCAGGGGAACAGGGAGGAGTGTGGTAAACTTTCTGAGGATGAAGGATAATGGAGCTCCTTGGCTGAGCCTTGCAGAAAGGGTTGTCGTAGAAACTTCCTCTCTTTAAGTATTGGGATAATCCAGTAGTCCAGGTGATTTTTTTTTTTAAACGCTGGAAACTTTGGCTCTTAAGAGGTCCCTGAATTACTGGGAGCAGTAAGTGGGAACTGCTACATTTTGGAGAGGGAAAGAGCTGAAGTGAAGCATCTTTCATTTCAGACTGAGACATGTGAAAGCTTCATGAGTCAAATACTTGCTGAGCTCTTCCAGGCTGTGGGCAGGAGGTGCAGGGGGACCTTTGCTTGTTGACTGACAGTTCTCAGCAATTCCCACTGTATTATTAGCTGGAACTTGCTGGAACTGAGCAGTGTTGTCAGGATTTTGCGCTGCTGTTGACGGGGGGAGATCCTGTCATGGCACTCCTGGCAGAACAAGCACCTGATGGATGACTTGGCCTTCCTGAGTACCCTATCTCCATAAATAATTTCTATTTAGGGAGGCTCGTGCCAGCCACTCCCGTGCTGGGAACAATGTCCATGGGCAGGAAGCAGCTTCAGGTGCTTGTTGCCGGTAATACTTTGTGATTTCCCTGGCACTGCTGAGTGCCTCAGTTTTCCCACCCCCAGTTAAAAGTGCATTCCCAGAGCATTGACTCATTCCCCATGTGCTGAAATGCAGTTCAAGGAGGAAGGAAGAGGAGAGCAGGGATTGCAGTGTCCTGTGTAACCTACTCCATGCGAGGTTGTCCCATCCAGAGAGGGGCTGCACAGTCCTTCAGCCTTGCTCTTCCACCAGCTATAAAAATCATTTGGAAACCAGGTACTCCCACTGGGCAGCCTTTCCTTTCTTCTCCTTCCCTTTTTTTGGTATTTCTGGATGCTGCTCCATGTCCAGGCTTTCCTTATTTCTCAGAGTCTGTGAAATAACATGGATTGTGGCACTAATGGTGAATCAGAAAGGGAGGACAGGGGGATTAACCAACCTTCCTAGAAAAGGTTGTTGTAGCTGATCCTGCTGAATATTTGCTCCTTGCAGTGTTGCCTAAACTCAGCTTCCTGGCTGTGGGGGAGTGGGAGAGAGTGGAAGAGTAAAGGATTCTCTTCTTGCTGATCTGTGCCACCCACCTGGCAGCCCTGCACTCTCCTACATGGGAATGCAGATGAATTTTCCATATAGTGATTGAAAAACCAGCCCCTTGCAGGAGATATTGCTGCTGGCTGGTACTCAGGGGTTGATGTTGGCTCTCTACGTGCCAGGAGTAGTTCTGAGAAGTCAGTGCAGCAGTGCTGACAGAAAATCATCTCACTTGTGTTTGAAATGCTTGATGTTTTAGGAACCTGTGACACTTGTCTCTTCTTAATAAGATTTAAAATCACAGTCATGCACTAGATTTAATTTTCCTTTATTTTTCCTCAGCTTCACCAGGAAAAGTGTTGCAAGTGTTTTGTAGGAAAAATTATAGGTGTTTGATTTTTCAGGTGGCAGTTCTTAGCTGCTTTTGGGTGGGGTTGGTACACAACCATAGGTAGGCATATGCTGCTCTAAAACAGGATTAAATCTCACTCCAAGGAGAGTATACTTTAGCCTGGGTAGTATTTCTGCTCTAAGGAATAAGCTGGTCTAAAAGAAATGGCAAATTTCTGGTTTGGAGCACATGGTGGAATGAGGTGTTGAACCACAGGGTGGGGTCCATTTCTAACTAGGTTGACTTGTCTGTCAAAGGAACAAAGAGTACCAAAACACTGTTTATTTCTGTAAAAAAAAAAGATAACAGAATTTAGCAGGAGACAGCATGGTAGCACAGGAATAGGTGAGCACCCAGAGCAAAGAGCAGCTGACTAAGAGATGACAAAACTCCCATCTCTGAGTAGGTGGGAGTGACAGTGACGACACTCCTGGTGACGTGTCAGGTTTCTCAGTGGACATTTGCTCTGGCTGGAGAGCCAGGAACTTGCATGTGATTTCAAACTATTTTTGTGCATTCACCTTGCCCTCTTGCCCGCAGGGGATCTCCAGCAGCACCTGCAGGCCATGTTCATCCTGCTCCGCCCAGAAGACAACATCAGACTGGTAGGTTGGCTTTCTGCTTATCTCCTGTGAACCAATGCAAAGGTTAAGCACCACTTGACAAACACACCTGTGTAACTCAGGGAAGCAGTGGTGTGTGTGTGTGTTGGAGTGGTTTCATAAGCAGGTTTGGGGAGTCTTTGCAACCACGAAGGTAGGAAAGCAGCTAGTTGTGAAAGGCCTGCTTTGGTTGTTCAGTGAGACAAATTGTATGGCTAGAAGGTTGTGCTTTGAACCCAAGTACTGAGTGTCTGTGCTCCCAAAAATACTGTAACAATTGCCAGACAGAATAGGTAAATTATCTTGGAGTCCTGTTTAAATCAAGAGTAGGTGACTTACGTCTGACCAGTGTGAGTGAGTCTGCCCTTCTGTGAGAGTTCAGTTGTGTTCCTCACTCTGCTGTCCTGACTTTTGGCATCCCAAAAGGCCATGGCTGAACAGGTGGGAGCATGTAGGATCCCCATGTAGCCATGCACCTGCACTGTACCTTGGCCTTCTGCTTTCCTGGGCTGGTGCCTCCTATAATGATGTAAAATGAGGCATCAGCATTGATGCACAATCCTGAAGAGCTGCAGAAGCCAAATGTGAGCGGTGAGGAATTTGCCTGGGACATGTTGAAGTGCTCTACAAGGCCAGGCATGACTGCAGTGATTCTGCACCTCTGAGCACTCAGTAGCCTGACGTTTGTTTCCTGTGTTTTCTTGGTGCATCTTAGCAACGTCTGCCCAAAGGACTGCCAGCATCCCAAGTGTTATTCCAACACCTCTGGTTTGCTGAATCCTCCTGAGCTGTGCTGGACATGGGCTGATTGGATGAGTATAGCTAGGAGACAGCCAAGGTTACTATGGAATGCTTTAGCTTCCCAAATGACCACTGAAAATAATTTGCCATAAGCAAGCCAAAGGACCTACTCCCCTAAATTTTGCCAGACACACCTTGCTGTCATTAAAATTTCAGTGAAGGTGATGGGAATGGGGGTTCTCAATGCTTTTCAGAATCTGAGCCAGGGTTAGAACATTGGAAACTATTGAACAGGGCATTGTTCAGCAGTATCACTGGCTACATTGTGTGATTTGGGACAAATTAGCCTTAACAGCTGAATAAGGACTTTGTGGGCTGAGACATAAACCCTTTTGTCCAGAGCTACATTTGGAATGCTGAAATCTTGCATGAGGTTAAGTTCGATAGTCTACTTGAATTTAATTGATTCTTGACGAACGAAGGGTGTGCAGGGCTGCAATGGACTCTCTCATAAAACAGCAGATACAAATGAGATTTGAAATATAAACAGTACTGAGAGAAATGCATTCTTCTCATTTTCTTGGCTGCTGTCATTCAGAGGGCTGGGTTCACAGCTCAGGGGCCAGCAGAGGAATCTAATCCTCTAAAAACCTACACTTGAAATTTGGAACAACTCTTGTTTCTTGGAGCTGTTGGCAGAGGTTTTTAGCCTTCCGTGAGAGTAGGATTAGAGCCATGGTACCAGTGTAAGATCAGTAGGAAGGAGGAAAAGGAGTTAAGAATGCAAAGTGATTGAATATGTTCCTGTAGCTTAGCAGAGCTGGGAACTTGGAAGTTGAACACACACTTTTTTTGTCTTCAAATCATTTATCTCCATGAGAAATGTGTTCTTGTATGAAACACCTACTGTTGTGGAGCGTGAAAGGTCAGTATGAACTTCTTGGAATGTGCTGTTCATAAGGGCTGGTGAAATATCACATCATACTTCTGATGATACAAGAATGCAGCAGAACATAAAGTTGGCTTGTGTTCAGGTGAGCCTAAAACTTAAGAGGAATGTAGCTGGCCCTGAAAGGACTACAGGGGATGACTTGTTTTGACCAGACTACCAATAACCTTCCCAAATTGAGGAGAAAGCTCTGTATAGATGAGCTGATTGAGAAAAACATTCCATCTCATCACAGTCCCTGAAGCCAGGCCATCCTCCCTAGAATAACTGGGATTTCAAATATGTTCATTTAAAAGGCATCAGAGCAGTTGGTGTGCTGCTGCTGGCAGGTGAGCATGTGAACTAGCACTTCATGGAAAGGTTAGAGCTTCATTTGTGGTTTGATAGGCACATTGGGGCTCTAATAGTAACTTTGGAAGTTGGCTGGTGTACAATGTCAATTCTGCTGTTTTAATACTCCAGTAAATTTAGCAAAACATCTTATCTGCCCAATCGTGGTTCTTAGCACTTTGTGCTAAGGGTGTAAGTGTTGAACCCAGAGATTCACAGTAAGCCATGCCCTGTTTCTCTTAACTGACCTTTGAAAATCCCACCCTACCAGCTATGTGACCTTTGCTCACTGTTTGTCTTACCCTGTTCTAAAGGGTCTTGCATCAAGACTTCCCATTACTGCTGGCCAAATTGGTTCAGCAAAGTAAGTTAGATTTTGTTAATCCTCTTGCTGCTGGACTGTCCTCAAGAGAAGCAGAACAGAAAGTCCTGTGTGGATGCCCCAGACGCCATGGGGCAGCTGTGTCTGTCTGCTCCCGTTTTAGGCAAGTCTGTGCTGATTGTTGAGGTTTGGTTCCTAATGTAGGTAATTACTTTAACCACCAAGACCTTGGTGATTACTTGCTCTTCTAGGTTGAAGAGCACCTTTCTGTTTTCCCACAAGTGGTTAGTTCTAGAAACAGCCACCTTGGGGAGAATTCACACCTTGAAGGACTGGCCACTTTGATCCTCCGTGTTTCCAAAGGAATCCCAGTGACTCAAGAAGCAAGAAGGAAAATAAGGCTGGTTTTAGCATGACTTATCCTAAGGAGATGGGGTGGGGCACAGTCTCTGGCTGAACAGAGCACGGCTGTCTGCTGGCATCAGCATTTGGGTAGTTTCTGTTGGTCTTTGGTCCAACTGGGCAAGTCTGGAAGACTCTGTCAACACTGTCTCCTGCCTGCACTTGCTATCCCACCCCATCACCAGAGCTGCTGCTCCCTGCAATGCCACTGGGAAGCTTTCCCTGCCGCACTCAGCATTCCCTGCCACGGAGCACTCCACTGGGATGGCGAGCTCTGTTCAGCTGCCAGGCACTGGTGTAACCTCTGTCATAGACTCCACCACGTGTTGTGGTCAAGATTTCCCAGCTGGTGGTGGACAGGAGAGCTCTGAGATCAGAGGGGGCTTCCTCTAAGCTGGGAGGTGCTGCTCTGACCTCAAGACCAGGTTGTGAACAACTAAAGGAGCATATTGGGAAAAGCAGCCTGCTCCTGAGAGATCTCACAAATTAGTTAATTTCTTAGCTTTTTAAGGATGACTTTTTCAACTGGGTTCTCTGAGCCAGGACCTCTGTGAGGACCACCAAGAGGCATCTACACAAGCTGTGGCTCGGGAGTTTGAGGAATTTGGGTTCTGTTTGTGGAGGATGTCAAACACCAGACTTCAGCCACTGGGTTGCAAGGAATTCAGGAGCCAAGTCCTGTTGCAGCAGGCAGGGATCTGTCCACAGCACAGTGCAAGGCTGAGCTGGGATGGCTCCTTCTCCCCCTGTTTGCTCTCTGCTGGCCCTGCTCAAAGTTCAAGCAGCAGTTGAACAACATGGTAAACACTGAGACCAGACAGAGTCTTGGGGTTGGATTGGGCCATCCAAAGTTAAGGTTTAGTGTACAGAATTAAGACACTTCCTTTCTAGGGATGTCCTAGTTTCTCTGGTTGTGATCCTGTGACTAAAATAGCTGCAAACAGCTTGGAACGGAGTCCAAAAAGTGTTGCAAGTAAAGGCTGCTTGCTGCAAGTGTTGATAAGCAAAACTTTCAGTGCTGGGCTCCCTTCCCCAGGCTCCTCATTAACCAGCAGTCTGTCTGCAAGACTTCCTGGAGTCCCTTCAGTTCTCACTTCCTTGTGGCTTCTGGAGGAGCAGCTCACCTCAGTGCAGCCTTCCAGGAGCTTCAGCATTGGTTTGACATTCACAGTTTAAGTAGTATTTGATTTGGGGGATTTTGGGCTGAACACCAGTCCTCCTAGAGCTCTTTTGCCACTGGGGTGCAAGTGAACGTGGCGGGAGCAACGAGGCATGATGACTTTCACCTTTCCTGGGCAATCTGAACCAGTGAAGGATACAGCTTAGTCATAGGGATATCTTTTCCTGCCAGGTGTAAAGCAGTACGATTGCTTCTGCACTGGGGAAGTTGCCAGAAGAATTCAAAGGGCCAGCAGGAAACCACGTATGAATTAGGTCCTGGTTGTCTGTCCAGCTGCCTGGAAGCTGGTGGAAAGAGACTCGTTGGAGGTGTTGTAGCACACAGTAGTTTAAAGGAAAGCTCTGGTTCTTGGGGCAAAGCCCTCTGAAGGTGAATGTTCAACACCCATCTGTCTCACTGGTGGTCCACAAAGCTCACTGGGCTGAGGACCAGTCAGAAGGCTGTAGCTTGTTCAAAGTCAGCCTTGGTGGGACAGAGCAGGGCCTGCAACCAGGTGTGCAGAGTGCACCAGGAATGTGCCAGCTGTTGAGGAGGGCACTGTGTGGGAGTAAAGCACTTCTTACCCAGCTGAGGAGCGTGGGACATCCGTACCCGTCCAGACTGCATCACCGCTTCTGCGCCTGTCACTCAGCATGAAAAAGTGGCCTGTAAAGGTCATAATGTGTGTTTTGCTGACTGCACTGCTGATCTCTTCCCCTTCTTTTCTTCAGGCTGTAAGACTGGAAAGTACCTACCAGAACCGTACTAGATACATGGTGGTGGTGTCCACCAATGGCAGACAAGACACGGAGGAGAGCATCGTCCTAGGAATGGATTTCTCTTCCAATGACAGGTATTCAGAGTGTCCAGGAGGGGAAGTCCTTGTGCTCACCCCCACACAAGTTAACTGGAGAAGTCACTGTCTGGAGTCCTGTGTTTTCTGGGGATAAGCTGCTTCAGCTTTTCTAGCCTAACATTTTTCTTGAGATCCAGAATTGCCTTTTTTTATTTCTTGAGAGGAGGTGCTAAATGTGAAGGCAACAGTGCAGGTCAGCATTTCCCCCATTCCTCCAAGCATCAGGCTTCTGTGAGGATGTTCAGTGTCTCTGAATGGTAAGGTCCCCAAGCCCTGCACCTGCTCACCAGAGACAGGGACAATCTTCGTGCAAAGAAAGAAAAAGCTGAAATTTGGGCAGCTGGATCTCAGCATTCAGGAAAATAGGTAATAGGAAAGGGTCTGTCAGGCAGTCCCTTGCCAAGGTCATGGCACAAAGGCCTGATGGCAGTGTCAGGGTTGGTGATGGCAGGTCTTGCACACCATGTGCTGTCCCCAGGCAGCAGTGTGTCATCAAGGTTTAGTGCTTCTGCTTCATTCATTTAAATTCCTGCTGACCTTTCCACAAGGCTGCAGAATGTGCCTGGGAAGCAGCTTTTACTGCAGGAGAGACTGTAAGTCAGGTGACAGCAACCTAGCACCTTCAGGGGAAGAAGCTTCACATTTAGAAGAGCACAGTGGGCACTTTGGAGAGGGCATGGAGGCACTATTAGAAGACAATCAGCTGGATATTCTCACATGGCTCTCTTAAAAAGAGTTTTAAGTAAATCTTGGCCTCTATTAGAAGACAATCAGCTGGATATTCAGTTTTGGAAGGTTTCATACTCATGCTTACTCATAGCACAGCTGCTACAGGAATGAGTCTTGCTTTTGATACTAGTTGGAATAAATTACTTCCAGGTAGTTAGTAGGATCACTAGAAAATATTTTTGAACTATTTGGCTAAGAAATTGCCTTCCAAATATTGCCTGCTAGTCACAGCAGCCACCCTGCTTGGTTTGGATGCTGAGCTTGGGTGATGCCTGCTAAAATGGGGGACCAGCTTGATGCTGCCCCTGGCTCCTGTCTCTGCACATGTGTGCACAGCTGTGACTCAGAGATGCTCTTGCCTTGGGGCAAGAATAACTTGTCCTTGCACAGGTTGCTGTGAGCTTGGAACTTGGCTGTGATGTACCAGGGCAGCCACCTTTGATAACTGAGAGCTCACTGGTATTCAGTCTCTAATAACATAGCAGGGTCATTTTAGCTTTCTGCTGGAGTTCCTGGGGTTCTGGATGGTCACTGTGATCTGCCCTCCCCGAGCCCACTCGGTATTTATAACTCCATGTAGACTTGTTGCTATGGTCTCTGATAAGCGCTCGCTGAACAGTATCACTAAAAATACCCCGGCCACCTTGGGAAGCCTTTTAAAAACACTTCTTTCCATGAGCTCATCTCATGTTGTCAACAGAAATAGCTGCGTGCCGCAGTGTCTCCTGGTGCTGGGCACCAGGCATGTGCATTTCCAGGGCTCCCTGTCTGACCCTCCAAAGCCTGGTCTCTCCCTCTTCCCACTCTTCTCTTAAGCTGGAGTCTGGCAGGTGTGCTGGAACTGGTGGAAATCTGGGAGCAGCATGCAAAACATGAGAGCAGGAGGCAGTTGAATTCAGTTCTTCAAGACGCTGCTTTGATTATGGAGCAGTTTTGCAGCTTTATGAGATTCAGCTCTTAATTTAACAACATGGAGGAGGTTGTGTTGGGTTCCCCTGCCCCTGCCTTTTTTCCATCGCTTGGTTTCTGCTTTTAACTTGGCTTTTTGCTCAGCGTTACAGAAATCTTGGGGGACTGTGAGGGCAAAGAGAGCAAAGCATCTGAGAGAGGAGAGGGATTGCCAGGAGGTGTCTGTATGGGATGGCTGTTGTGATCATTCTTGAGGGCGAAGAAGGGTCAGGAGTCAGCCACAGGTGATAGGCTGAGATTGCCAACTTGCCATGCTGCCAGTCATCCTGCTATTGCACTGCTCTGCTCCCAGTCCCCAGCAGCTGTGGCTGAGGGACAAACAAGAAAATAAAGCTGTGGATTGCAAAATCAGAGCTAGAACCAAACCTCTTGAGCCTGAGAGGGATTAATCTGTAAAGAAAGCCTTGAGCTGAGTGAAGACTGTGAGCCCCCTCTGACCTTCTGGACAAAGTTCAGTGTTTTTGGATCCTGTTTGCTCTTCCTTGGGTGTGTTAACCCTTCAAGCTTGCTTGAAAGTAGAGTGCTGTGCCCTGAATCTGGTTAGTGATCCTTGCCAGGCCCCTGTAGAACAACACTGGCCCTGTTTGTCTCTGAAGCAACAATGGGATTTTTCTTTTTCTTTTTCCTAATGAATACAAAAATACGCAACTATTGCCATGAAATTAGAATAATAACATGGTGCTGTAGTAGATAGACTGACTTTCTCTTTCTCACTGCAGTAGCACTTGTACGATGGGCTTGGTGCTGCCGCTCTGGAGTGACACCTTGATCCACCTGGATGGGGATGGGTGAGTGCCTTTTGTGTGTTCTGTATTAATGCAACTTAGAACAAGGTGTGTGGGGAAGGATTCCAGTGCTTGCAGAGCTCTCACAGGTCCAGCAGCCCTCCTCTGTTGACCTGTATCGGGTTAGTAGGCTCAAAGGCCCTCAGTCACAGTGGTTGTGGCAGGGAACACCAGTAATTGACTTATCTGTGAATAAACATGCACTGAGACAGTGGCTTATGTGTGTGTTTAAGCTGGAGTAAAGGAGCTTTTACTGGAGAGTGGGTGTGTAGTGAAAGCTCCTTAAAGGGATCCTATTATGTGTTCCTCCATCATGCTTGCAGCAGGCAGCACTCAGCCCAATATAAAGCAAGAATGATGTTTCTCTGCCAAATAGACACCTGACTTGCAGACTCCTGTTTGTGCCAGTTGCTCAGGCTGTCCAGTGCAGTGCATGGAATGACTTTTCTTTCCTTGGTAGCTGCCCCAGGATCTCTTTAGGTGGACTCTTGCTCCCAGCTGTGGCACTGAATTTGTGTTGCCAAGGTAAACAGCACAGCCCAGCACTGTCCCACTGTCTTAGTTTCGTTCCCAAACAGCAGCTGCTTAAAGAAGTTATCTTAGAGCTTTTAGTGTGCTATTTTGATCTGTTTGCTAGCTGAACTCAGCAGTGTATGCATAGGCTAGACCTTTGCTGTTCTAATGTGCTGAGACTATCAGTTATTAACTAAAAAGTGACTTTTGGGAGACATTTTTACTTTGCCTTTTTTCTTTTCACCAGAGGGTTCAGCGTATCAACAGATAACAGAGTGCACATATTCAAGCCCGTGTCTGTACAGGCAATGTGGTAAGTACTTACTACAAGCTGTCCCACTCATCCTTTTTCCAGATGTTTTGGCTGCTAAACTCTTAAAAACCAGGTGCTGCTTTACGTTACTGTGATCTTGAGACCTACTTGAGCAGCTAGAAGTTTCCTTCAGAGGCAGGGAAGGAAGTTTGGTACCAAAGGAAAAATGAGATGTAGGTGCTGGTGTACAGCAGCTTTGTCTCAGCTGAGGGCAGGAAGGAATAGGGTAATTTTCCTTGCAAAGGGTTGCTGCTTTGAGCCCAAAGTCACATTGCTTTGAGTATATATTTGAAATGTTTTGAGATATGTTCATTGTGATAGAGGAAAGAGAAGCTGCTTGCATTTTTCTTTCCTTTTAGGGTGGTTCATGTAGTGATCATGAAAGTATTTCTGGCTCGAGCTTCTTTGCATTGCAAAAATACATCGCCTGTCAGCGATGCTGCTGTCACCCCAGTGATTTTGACCTGGATCCTTCTGATCCCAGTCAAAGATTTAAAATAAGCTAAAAATAGGAGAGGGGGATTTGTTTCCCAGCAGCAGCTGAAGAAACTTCTGACATCCCTCGTGCAGTGAGAGAGGGCAGACACCTAAACATCTCAGTGCAGTCCTGAGCCCTTGGTTGTGCATGTCTGATTCCTGGGTGTCCCTGCCCTGCACACAGGACAGCTGATGGCACAGTAGGAGCTGTCAGCACCCTGTCTTGGATACAAACTCTGTGCATCTTATTTAGGGCTTGGGTATTTGTAGTAGATTTTGGAACCAGTGACACGGGTGCCTCTGCCCTCTGAATGGTGGGCACCTTCACTGCTATCCAGGCTTGTTCTGGCATGCTCCAATTAAGACATGCAAGCTCTGGCAGCGTGTGGGAATCCACAGCCTTGCAGGACAGCTTGGTGCACGGTGCCAGGGGCTTGTATCAACTGATGGGACATGAGCAGCATCCTGGATTTGGCTGCTGCTTAGTGCTTGATACCAGCCTGAGGAAAAAATGATAAACCTACAAGTATTGTTCCCTCGCTAGGTCTGCTCTGCAGAGTTTGCATAAGGCTTGTGAAGTGGCACGGAGCAACAATTATTATCCAGGGAGCCTCTTCCTCACGTGGGTCAGTTACTATGAGAGCCACATCAACTCTGACCAGTCGTCAGTCAACGAGTGGAATGCCATGCAGGATGTGCAGTCCCACCGGCCCGACTCGCCCGCCCTCTTCACAGATGTGTAAGTTGGGCTGGCTCTGCTGAGCCAGTGTTTGACTGTCCCCAAATGAGGAGAGAGTTTCCACAAGAGATTGCTTTTAATTAAGTATTAATAAGGAGAGGCTTCCTGTTCCGTGTAATAAGTGGACTCCTGGTTAGGTAAACACCAGCAATGGAAGTTTAGCCCTCCTGGGGCTCCCTTGCATCTCCTCCAGCCTCTGTTTTCAGTTTAGTTGTTTACCTTGGGCTTTGCTTGCAGACCTTTGCTTCTGCAAGTCCCATGTTACTGGTGAGGTGTGGTGTACCTCAGCCTTGTCACTGCTGGTTTTGAACTCTTGTTCCAGGCCTGGAAGGAACAGGTTTCTCTGGACTTTGCTCTTACACTGGCACGTGTCTGAGCACATGTTTAGGCTAACATGGTCTTTTTATCCTTACCCAGTTCCTTTTGCTGTAAAGTGAAGTGTTTATGTATGGACTTCAGGTGAATGGGTAGACAGTTCAGAAAGGCAAAATTTACTGGCTGTATCAACATTCAAGGTTTACCACCCCGGTTGTTAGTAACTGCTGATGGTACTGATACCATGTAACCTGAAAGGTAGTCTGTGACCAGATGTGGTGCCAAGTGTGAGGGTTTTCACCTGCCCATTTTATAATCACTTCAGTGGCCCCAGCTGCTTTCCCAGAGCAATAGTGCCTTTGGTTGATTTATGCTTCCAGATATTTCCTGTTGCTGGAGTCTAGTGAGTGAATAATGATGCTGAGCAGTTGTTCAGCTGTGAACAAGCCTTCACACTTGATTGTTTTTTAATGTACCAGGCGGGTGGCTGAAAAGTTTTGGCAGGCTGACAGATTATTATTTTATTGTAGCTTTTCATATATAAATTTTATCTAACCCACCACCCTTTCCCTGGTGGCACCTTGAAATTGAATGATTTCCTTGGGACACTTAAACAGCATTCTCTTAATGGAATCCTGAAATAATGCATGAGGTTAAAAGGACCAGGAACTTCCATGATTTTTATTAGTGAGCCACCAGTTGAACACTTGTAACATCCATGCCCTCCCCAGCCTGGCAGCCTTCCAGAGAAAGGGAAAGGTGGTGGGGCATGTCACTGCTGGGTCCCTTGGTAAAGATGCTGGGTGGGCCAGCTCCATGCTGCTGCTCTGCTGCAGCTTCCCCTGGTGTTACTCAGGCTATTTTTGCAGCTGGTGATAAGGCCCCTGGCAGCAGAGGCGGGAGGAATGCAGAGGCTTAGCTGCCCTCGTCTCTCCATGTAAGGAGTTTTGGAGCTGTTACCTTTCCAAGAAAGGTAGGGAGAGGCTTAGATATTGCTCCAGAGGGTATAATGCAGCCTTCCCAATTTAAATTTTACCAAATACCAGGGGCTCTCTGGATGTCTACAATGGATTAGGAGCATTCAGTTGGTGGCTTTCATATACAACTGTGAATCTAAACTGGGCTTTACTGTCACCTGAATTCCCTCCAGAGGACATGCCTGGGGGAAGTAGTGTGAGAGTCTGAGACTCTACAGAGTATACAGTCTATAACTATTTTAAAAGTGTCATGAATCCAGTTTGTTTTCTCTCCCAGTGACTCTCTTGCTTTCTTCTGACAGCCCAACTGAGCGGGAACGCACGGAACGGCTGATTAAGACCAAATTAAGGGAGATCATGATGCAGAAAGATTTGGAGAACATCACCTCAAAAGAGGTGAGTGGTGAGGGTGCAGCACTGGAAATGCTGTTGAGCAATCTAAAGAGCTCTGTGCTTCATGCTATGAAGAAAGGCCAGAACAAAACCTTCACATGACTTCCTTGTGTCCCTCGTACCCACGCAGATACGCACGGAGCTGGAGATGCAGATGGTGTGTAACCTGCGGGAGTTCAAGGAATTCATTGACAATGAAATGATAGTGATCCTCGGGCAGATGGACAGCCCCACACAGATATTTGATCATGTCTTTTTGGTGAGTCTTAACAATGAATACAAAAGTAAACACTCCTAACACTTTTCACTATGAGCTGGTTGACACAGGGGCCTCTGGAGGAAGTTGAAGGAATTCTGAAGGAAAGGTTGGTTGATCCTGGGATCAAATACTCTTAAGCAAGACAGTAGTGAACAAGAGCAGCTTGGCTTTTTGGTTGTACTGAACTTTGTCACGTAGCACCAAGCTGTAGACCCTGTACCTAATGGATGGAAGGGACAAGGTGTTAATTCTAACAGTTTCTCAGGACTGTTTCCATTGGTGTAAGACCAGTTTTGTGGCTTTAACTGTCCAGGGTACCCACATGCCAAGCTCTTGTGTTTGGGGAAGACATAACATAGCAAAGAGGGAGGGGAGCTGTGTGACACCCAGATGGAGTGATGCTCTTTTAACATGGAAAGCTCTTAAGTTTGTGTGATCCAGGAGGAACAGAGTAATGTAACAAAGAATCCTGGAGATAAGTCACTTAAGGAAACATAAACATTTTGCTGTTTAATGTTTTGCTTGCTTAGTTGCTGCTGGGGCCTGTCTTAATTACTGCAGCTCCTTCTGGTGAGTCAGCGCTCCGCTGGATTTCCCAGCCCTGGAGCCATGGACACAGGTTTGGTTGGGCTGTCTAGCCTGTGAGGTTGGCTCAACTTTAAACAAAGCCATTCCTCTTGGACCAGCTGGTCCTTCCAAATGGAGAGGGCCTCTCCCAGTCTCCGGCTCAGAAGGGATGGTCTGTGTTAATGTGAGCACTCCCAGGATATCATGTTGGGGTAGAGCCAAGAAACTTGGAAGTACCTACAATTTAATGGATTTTTTTTGCAGATTATGTGTTATAAGGAGAGAGAGGGACCTGTTACAGGCTTATGGTGTTGGCCAAAAGCTGTTACAGGCAGCTGGATGCACTGCAGGGCTTGGAGTCTTGTCTCTGAGTTAATTTAATGGGGAGAAGACTTTCAAACAAGGCTTACAGGCAGCACCAAGAAGAGCTGTGGTTAATTTGTGGAATAAAAGTGTTTGCAGAGCAGCTGCTGTGGTGAGGAGCTGTGCTGCTGGGGCTGGGCACCAGCTTCACCCAGGAGCCTGTGTGCTGCAAGGCAGGGTTGTGTGGTGAGAGCTCAGAAGGGCAAGGAGCTGTTTCCTGCCATGTGGAGGCAAGAGCCCTGTGGGATCCCATTTGAGGAGTGCTAAAAGAACTAAGCAGGAAATAAGAGGACTGATAATGTTGGTAATTGTGGATCAAAGGACAGGAGAAAAGGCTTTCACCCCTGCAGCATTGTTCTCCCTACCTGTGGAAACTGATGGTTCCCAGGCCTGAATTAAATTGTTCTTCCTTGACTGAGACAACATTAAACTGAGTCTGGGCCTTGGTAAATATAATCAATCATCTTCATCTGGATCATCTTTCCATTTGGGAGCCATTTTAGGGCAGGGAAGCAGAGAGCTTGTGCACCTTAAATTTTGAAGGAAGCCTTTGAGTGGTTTTGTTCCCAGTCAGGTTTGTGTTTGAGCAGGAAGCAAGCAGCTTGGAGGCCCTGTGTGTGCTGCAGAGGAGAGGGTTACCTAGCCAGGGTTAAATGTCTTAATTTCTCTGCTCACACAGGCTTTGAACATGGGGAGAAGAGGTATAACCCAAGTGAGCTTAGGTGTTGCTGCCTTTGATGTTCGAGATGGGTGTTTCGTGTATAAACAGCACCTGGATGGTTCTTAAATGCAGGCAGTTTCTCCTCTGGGGGACAGAACTGGCAGCAGCCTCCAGGGAAAGGGTGGAGTGGTCCTGTCTTGCTGAGGTTGATTTGTCAGCGGTTTGCAGGAAGTGCCAACACACAGAGCTGGGCTCTTGTTGGCAGAGTTGCTTCTTGTTTCAGAAGGGATGTGATTAATGGGGTGAGAGAAGGTGCTGAGCATCAGTCCTGGTTACCACTTGTGTACCCCTGTGCTCAGAGGACCCCCAGCTCTCCAACCCTTGGCTGGTCAGCTTCCTCCTCTGGTTCACTGGTGACTATCCCTCCCTCCATCAGGTGCCTGGCCTTGCCTTCCTTTTGCCTGATGTGTCCCTTTGCATGTTTTCCCTGCAGGGCTCAGAATGGAATGCCTCCAATTTGGAAGATTTGCAGAACAGAGGGTGAGTAGCTTCAGGCCATCAGCTTAAAAGCAAGAGCCTGGCCACAATTTCCTATGCAACAAACTCTATTCCATAGCTGCTGTGTAACCTGAGTCTTATTTAAGGGATTGCAAATCCAAACAAGCTCTTGCTTTCTCCAAACTCCTTGTCCCACACAGAGGCACCTTAATGTAAAAGGATCTTACCCTGACCTTGACTAATGTCCCCAAGGCAAACAAAGGAAGGCAGCAAGCTCATAGCTATAAGTAGTAAAAAGCTGCAATTACTGAACTGGATGCTGCATAGTTGGCTCCATGCCCTCGGCCCCAGCCCATAGTTCTGGACTGATTACAGAGGCACTTCAGACCTCCAGGCTGTGCAGGAAGGAAAATGTGGAGAAGAGCATTTGTTCCTCTGAGTGGGGCCCAGTAGGAAGTAAAGTCCTGTAGGAACCCCACCAATGGGTTCCTCTGTTTCCTGCCCTTTCTACTTTTCAAGTTTAGATTGTCCTTTCTCTAGACCAGGTGGTTGTAAGCACCAAGATTGTGCAATAAAATAATTATTCATGGGTATGGCTTATTTGTGCCAAACCAGTGGAAAAAACTAATCCTGCTGGTGAACTGATAGTGTAATTCTGTACCTCAGAAATTCAGCCTGGCAAAATTGACTCTTCTTGGTGAGCTCAGGGTCTGCTGTGATTTCCTCGAGTCCAACAGGTCCTACTTGACTGCCAGTGATCTCATACCTGCTTGGGAAAAGGGATGTCACCTTCTTGCAGTTCCCTTGTTCTGCCTGATATCCCAGCATGAGTGCATTTCATAAGCATCTTACGAGTAACCCTCAGGGCTAAAAATACTGAGTGCTGTGTACATAAATACCACACGCTTTCTCTAGCAGTTTCCTTTCCAGAAAATTTAGGGATAAGAAATAAATCCTCCCCAGTGGCTCATTGTCTGTTACATCTCTCTGTAGTTGTTTCATGTGTTTGTTTAGCTCTGGTGTTATTGGGAGGCTTAGTCTTCCTGTGGTTTTGGTGCAGCAGGAGGAGAGATTCACAAAGGGGCTTGGAGAAGGTGTGCAAACACTAATTGCAGGAGCCCCTGTAGCACAAGTGTTGCTGACATGTAGAGCAGAGGTGGTGGGCAGTGTGACCTGACATTGTGCAGAGGAAGTTTCTATCCGTGGGTCTCTGTCATCAGGCTCTAAAGTGCCCAGCAAAACCTATTGTCTGTGTTAGCTGCTGCTTCCTTGCATTAATTCCTGGTTTCCCTGGAATTTTGTTCAAGAGTGCATTTCCAAATGCCCTTGGCAAAGCAAGGCAAGGCTGCAGTGTAGCAGTGGGACATCTCTCTGAACTGGCTGTGTTTCTCCTGCTGTTCCCATGCAGGGTACGGTACATTTTGAATGTGACTCGAGAAATAGATAATTTCTTCCCTGGGCTCTTCGAATATCACAATATCAGGGTTTATGATGAAGAAGCTACAGATCTTCTGGCTTACTGGAATGATACCTACAAATTCATCTCCAAGGCAAAGTAAGTCTTTTCAGAAAACACAACACACCCATTTAGAAGATATATACTAAGCATTTTGTTTTCCTGCTGATTTTCTTAACTGATTTTCCTCCTTGCCTACCTAGCATCACAGCATTTTCATTTTGTGGTTTGCAGTAGAAGAGCATCTCTGTGCTAGAGGCTGCTCTGAACTGCTGTGTATCTTTCTGGGATGTGTTTCTAAATTGTGACACCACGTTTGTGGTACAGGTTCTCTTTTCACTTGGAATATGGCTTGATGCCAGTGGGCAATTTGGGCTGAGTTCAAGGGTGCCACACTAAGTCTTCAGAGGTTTTCCTGTATCTCTGTGTTTTTCCACTTTGCAATAACAGCTTCAGAATAACTGTTGTAACAAAATCTCTTAGGAGTATTAATAAGACCTTATTCTTCAGTTTCTTTGTGTGTCTTGCTCCAGTTTGTAAATTGGATTATCAGATCACATCCCAGACTCCAGCTGTGGCCACAGTGTTGAAAATATGTTTGGTAATTCTCTGGCAAAGAAGTTGCTGTTTTCTTAAGCTTGTCAGATGTTTTCTGTTTAGCAATCCTCTTTTGTTCTTTCTCCCTCTTCAGGAAAAATGGTTCTAAGTGCCTGGTGCACTGCAAGATGGGGGTGAGCCGCTCAGCATCCACGGTGATTGCCTATGCCATGAAGGAATACGGCTGGAACCTGGACAGGGCGTACGACTACGTGAAGGAGCGGCGCACCGTCACCAAGCCCAACCCCAGCTTCATGCGGCAGCTGGAGGAGTACCAAGGGATCCTGCTGGCCAGGTGAGTGGAAGGACTGATGCTGGTTATCCATGTTGAGGTGTCACACTTCAGTGGTTGACTCCATTCTTTTAGTCAGAGCTTGTATGGCTGTGTTGTGCAAGCTCGGGTTCTTAGGAAAGGTAGCGCTCTGCGTTCAGGGTTAGCTCAGCCTGGGAAAATGGGTGTAAGCAGGAGCTGTCAGGAAGCTGTTGGACTTCTAGGATGTTTGGTTTTTGGAAAGTAGCATCCCATGAAGTGTTATCTGGGTGCAGCATTCAGAGCTATGCAGGCTCCAGCAGAGATAAATGATGTCCCTGTTTCTTGTAACATCACTTGGCAGGGAGCTCGCTTTGTCTCCTCACAGTTCCCTGTTGAACATGCCCCTCCTCAGCAGCTGGTCTGGTTTTATTTAGATCCCTTTGGTAAGTGTTGGTGTGAGGGGAGGGGACAGGATGTTCTGTGCATTGCAACAGTGGTGTTTATTCCTGCCTGGAGTCCTGAGGCTGCTCTGGAGCTGGGCCTGGGTATGGGCAAGTGTGTTGTAATCCCAAGCCAATCACCTGACTAGCAAAAAGACATAAATACTGCATGTTTTCTAGGCTGTGTTAAGCAATATCTTCACGTAACCAGCAGGAAGGAGGTAGTGATACTCTGTTTTGCCAGGTTATGGTATTTTGTTTGGGATCCTGGTGTGCTTTGCCTGGGAGCAGATCTGCAGCAAACAGAGTTACCCAATCTGAGCCTCCTGCCACAGGAGGTGATCTTAGCAGGTTTGGACCAAAGTAAATAGTACATTTCAAAGCTTTTTGGTGCAATTGGGAGATGACTGCTTTTTGTAAAATCATTTAGTTTGGAAAACAGCTTTAAGGTAGAGTCCAGCCATTGGACTGTAAATAATATGTAAATATGTATGCTATTATTTACAGCAGCTGTAAATAATATGTATTTTATATGCTATTATTTACAGCAGCTCTGTCATTTGTGTACTGTCTTTAGGGCACACTTCTTACCTGTGTCCTCTGCTTGATTCTGTCCCTTCATGTCAGTTCTGTCTACTTGCAAAGACCTCCATTCCCTTTCATTGTAATAACTTTTTCTTCCTCCTTTGCTCTCCACCTGTTCCCATCAGCCTGACTGTGTTTGTTGCTGGGCCAGGCCTGGATTCCCAATTTTTACACCAAACCCTTGGTCTGATCTCCCCTGTTGCTGGAGTGTGCTTCCTCTTTCCCTCTCTGCACAAGTAAACAACCTCAGGGCTCCTCCCACCTTATTCCCTGACCAGGTGCACCCACAGGATCTTCATCCACCAGCTCTTGCCATCCTTCCTCTCCCCTGCTCCCCAAACCCTGCCTGCTACAGTGACCCTCTTTCTTTCTAAAAAGCAGCCAAGTAGTATCAAGTCTCAAGACAGATCATGTGGAATAGACAATTTAAAAAAATAGTGCCCTGCTGGACTGAAACCCTTTGAGACAGACACCACACCTGCCTTCAGTGCCTCATGTGACACCAAACATGCTGCTGGCACCAGTTAGTAAAGGTCAGTGTCAGTGCTTAACTCTGGGCCAGAGATGCCCTGACCAGTGTAGTGTACATTGAGTAGACTGGGAAAATATGTCTCATTGGTGTAGATTGGAGAAAAAGTAGTTTTTTAGGTGTGAAAATCACACAAACAGGTTGGTGAGCACCTGTGAGGAGCTCTGGTGTGGGAGCAGCTGGTATCTCATATCTTCCAGCCCTGAGCCCAGCAGTTGGTTTGAGTAATCTGCCAGTCTGGTAGCTGGTGACATGCCTGCAAAGCCACCCTGTACAAACATTTTGGTTAAGGATTATTTTTCCCTGTCTTTTAGTAATTTATTTTTTGGAGGTATATCTTTCCTGGTGTCACCATTTACAGCCTGTGGCCTCCCTTCCACTGGAGCCCTACCCTGCTCTGCAAGTCCCTGTACAATGGCACAAACAGGATTACTTGTGAGGCTTTAAAAAATGCAAGAGCAGTGTGTTACATCTGTGTAGGATGAAAAAGCCTGCAGTAAATGAAGCTTCACTGAAGCAAGGAATGGCCCCTCCATGCTGCAGAGACTGTCCCTCTTTATCCACTTCCTCTCTCAGCTTCAAACTGCTTTTTTTCCCCTTTTTTTTTTGGTGTTATTTAGCTTTGCCCTCTTGCTGCATTGTTTATTGCTGCAGTATTCCAGGACAGGTAAAAAAAACAAAAACAAAAAACCCCCCAACAGATTGACACTCATGTGACTGCTCCAGTTTCAGGGGGAAGGTATGTGAGGGCAGCCATGTGCTCACACTATCCAGTTACGGTTTTGTGCTGGGGTTATAGCAACTGGGATATGTTTTCCAGCTGTAAAATGAAAACCCCCTGCCTGCTTTTAGTCACAACAACAAGTGTGTTTTGCTCTTTGGGACTGTCATACTTCCTGGGGTTAGTTAAACTGTCCCCTCCCTCTGTTGATAAACACAGCAAGGCTGAGCCAGGCCTGTTTCTGTTATTAGTTATAGATAAGTCACAGGAAACCAGTGTTTGGGATCTCCTGTGCCTTGTGCAGCTTGTGAAGCAACAGCATTTTTATACCCAAGCCTGGAGAGCTGGTGGGAGGTGTGGGGGGCCCCTGGTCCAAAGGTGGTGTGGGTACAAGCACCAGGAATGTTTCCCAGGAAGGTCAAGAGGTGGCTGTGGGCTCTGGGAAGGGAAGTGGGCTCCTGTTCTCTGACCTGCACCTCATGCAGCTTGTCAGACTGGGGAAGTGTCAGATTGGAAGATAGCACAGTGGTGCTTGACATCTGGTTTGGTCCTCAGATCCGTGCCAGTTGCTCACACTGGAGGGTAATTTTTACTTTCAAAATCAAATGTGCAGCAGAGAGCTGGATCTGAGCATTGAAGTGCCCTCAGAAAACACCAGCAGCTCCCCAGGCTGTATGAGCAGAGATGTCAGATTCCATTCAGAGCCTAAGCAAGAACCTGCCTCAGGGAGAACCCTGTTTCTCCTGCCAGTGTGAAACTGCTCCAGAACCCACTGGAGATGGAGCACGTGCACCCCAGGACAGTGCCTTTGGCTCTGATCTTGACCCTCCTCTCCTGTGACAGGACCTGATTCTGCTCCGTGTCACACGGGAAGGTTGTCACTTTTTATAGGGTTGGAAAGCTAAATCTGCAATGGATTGTTTTCCTTAGCTGTTGGGCACCCACAACTGAACTGGCACATGGTAATTAGCTCAGTACCGTCTGTTAATTAACTTACCGTGGCCACTGGATGTGTCTGGGAGTGCCTGCTCATGCTAGCAAGGGACTGGAGGGTTTTTGCAAGATCTGCAGCTCCAAGGAGGTTTTTGTGGTTTCTGTGTTCCTCCTAGGGGCAATGGGTGGAAACACATCCCTGTGGCCGTGGCCACTCAGCAAACCCTGGCAGCCTGGGCTAGCTCTGGCATTTCATGGCAAGAAGTTGCCTGCAGTGCTCTCTGTAAGCCCAGGTGCATGGGTTGGGATTTTTGGCAGGTGGAGTTGAGGAAGGTGATGCAATGCCACTGGCAGTTATTTGGCCTTTTGATGGCTCAGAATTTCCTAAAGGGGCTTTCCAGGAGCTGGAGGAGTTCTGAGCTTCCTTCCTGTGGAAGGTGGGTGGTAATTTGGGCTGTGTGTTTACTGTTAAGGATGTCTTGTGTGTTTTTGCACACACCCACCTCTACTCATCCCACCCTATCCCTCGGTTACAAGAGCCAGTTATTGATAACTGAAGCTATTCAGAGAAGAAACCACAAGGGAAATTGGACTTTATTCAGTGTCCACCCCTTGCTTGTGTCCACCACAAGGGGTTCTCTCTCTTGTGGTCACCACTCACCTGCTAGCAAATGGAAAAATGCTGGCTGAGAAAGGAGGACCAAATTCTGCAGTCAGTTTAACATTGCATTTGTGGAGAGGACAGATCCAACACCGCTGAGAAATGGGAAGGGCTGTGTGGAGCCGAATGGCGCCATGGAATTCAGCTCCTGGAAAGTGGCTCATTACTGGGTCAACTTTTCCAGCAGCAAGTCTGGCCCTGAGCTGTTCAGGTGAAGCCGCAGCTGTGGTCAGTGACTCCAGCATTTGGCACAGTTTCTGTTGTAGGTTGTGTCCTTTTACAACAAGGTGGATCTGGCTGTGGTACGTAGAAATCACTCACTGTTTTCCTTTGCTGTCCTTCCCTGCAGCAAGCAGCGGCACAACAAACTGTGGCGCTCGCACTCGGACAGCGACCTCTCGGACCACCACGAGCCCATCTGCAAGGCTGGGCTGGAGCTGAACAAAAAGGAGATCACCACCTCAGCTGACCAAATCTCAGAGGCCAAGACCAATGACAACCAGCAGCCCATGTCTCCCATCTACTCAGCTGAGCTGGACAGGGAGCAGCAGCTCCCAGAGGACACAAACATGATCGAGGACGTGTGTGTGAAGGAGAGAAGGATCCACTTAGAGTTTACTTGCAGAGACTTCCACACTGAGCAGATGGAGGACAAGCTGAACCTGAACAATATCAATGGCTGTACAGCAGGGTGTTGTGTAGACTCTGTCCCCCCTGACAACTGCCGTGCTTCTGAGGCCTTAATGCAGCTCCAGCACCCCTTGGAAATAACAGAGTTTCCTGATCTGACAGTGGATGATCTAGAAAAAGATGCCCTTAAGCCTGATATGAACGTGCACTTGGTTCCCATGGAAGAATTCACTTCATGCTTAAAAGACTTCCCCCAATCCCCAAACCAGAATTCCCTAGGCCTCCAACAGAACCCTCAGCCTGAAGTGACAGACCTCAGCACAGACAGGATTGATTTCTTCAGTGCTTTGGAGAAATTTGTGGAGCTCTCTCAGGAGAGCCGGTCACGAACCTGCTCCCATTCCAGGCCAGAGGAGCAAGGGGCTGGGAGGAATGGAGTCTCCAGGGTGCCCGTGCTGGAAGTGCCACCTGCTGCAGATGGGGGTGCAGATGCTCGAAGAAACAGCCCTGGAAACTCTCCTCAGCCATCCGATGACTCTTCCACAGATGAAGAGCAGCAAAAGGTTAAAATAACTTGCTCAGTTTTTTTAGGAACTGCTGCTCGACCCTATCTCTGGGCTGTTTTCTGCTGTGGGGTGGCTGTGGATGGGATTTTCTAGCCCTGCTTTCACTGGACACAGTGTTTGGGGAGGGATTGCTGGATACTTCTCCCTTCCTTCACTTTTAGATACTTGCCCTTTTCTGCACTTTTTCCTTAAACATCAGTCTGCTGGCATTGGCAAGGCCATGAGCTGACCTTGACCTGACCTGCTGTGCTGTTCTCATGAGAAACTTATTTTTGAGTTTTGCATCAGGAGAGCAGAAAGGTGGGACTTGACCCACTAATATAGCCAGACCCTGAGCCCAGCCAACATCCCAAATCTGCACAGATATTTATCTGACTTGAGAAATCCACCAAAGAATGGGGCAAAACTGGCCCTTTTCCCTCGTTGGGAAGCACCAGCATTGAGGTAGTAAATCAAGGCAGGTGTAGAGCTTCCACTGCTGGAGGAAGAAATTAACCTGTCCAGGTTTGGAGTGATGGGATTGGGCACGCCATGGCTCACTTCTCCTGGGTAGAGAGATGGTCTTGACAAAATTTAGTAACCTCTAAATTTAGGTCCCTTTTTCCTGTAATTGCTTTTCAGCCTCCAGGACTCTCACAGGGATTGATGATGTCCGGGGCCATCATCTTCTGGGAGCTTCTCTTATTTAAATTCCATCCTGCATTGCTTGAATCTTTTCCATTTTCATGTGAGGCAGTAAGGCTCTTCCAAATATAATAGGCCAGTGCTCTCTCCTGTGATTTGGCAGAGAATGTCTGTGGGGACTGGGAGTCCCCCTGGCTATTTTCCTTTGGGAAACCAGAGCATTTCAATGCTTGGTCATTCTTTTTGCTGTATGTCTGGCTGCTCCATACATGAGCAGAATTTTTCATGTTTTCAGTTCAAAATAGTACTTTTAGCAGTGTTAGGATTCTTTTTGTTTGTTGGACTTTTCTTCATTTAGAAAAGCAAAAAAGCTACCTTTTCCTTGGAGTTTGTTGCAATTAAGGTTCTTAGATCTTAGGCTAAATGACAATACAGCCTGGAGCATGTTAAATTCAGTCTCAGAGACAGTAAAAAACCTAAATAAGTGGTCACTGCCACATGCTTTTTTGCTCCTTTGTGTGCACCCCTATTTTCTCTAACCTGCTGCTGTTTGCTCCGTGTCAGCACAGCTGATGCACTTTGTAATTCTCCTGTTTGTGTGTTGCAGGAGGTCCCTGAGCTGCCTGGTGCAGGTCATCTCACGAGATCCCACTCGGAAAATGCCATTTCTGTGAAGGAAATTATCACAGAGATTGAGTCAATCAACCAGGGAACAGGACCTGCCCAGCAGAAAGAGAGTTCAGCCAACCTCAGCCAGACACCAAAGAGGAACACGGTGCATGACCTGCCAGTGGAGGTGATTTGGGCATCAGAAAAGTTGGAACAGAGTGAAGCAGCCTGTGCTGGACACCAGGAGAAGGAGAAGGACCCGCTGCCAACTGAGCAGGAAGAAGCCCCATCTCTGCAGCTGGCTTCTGGTCGATCAGACCTGGAGGAAAGCAGCTCTGGTGGGGAGCAGCAGGAGCCTCGTGGCTCCACCAAGCCCGAGCCCAAGTGGTGCCCCGGCTCCGTCCGGCGAGCCACGCTGGAGTTCGAGGAGCGCTTGAGGCAGGAGCAGGAGCACCAGCACACGGCCCCAGCCTGCGCTTTACCCACCCGCAAGAACTCCAGGCACGACTCTCCTGCTGCCGAGCTCCTGCCACGGGGGAAGAGCGAGGAGCCGCCCCTGGAGCTGGCTCCGGAGCGGGACAAGGCGCAGGGTCCGGGCGCTGAGGAGCCGCCGCCGCCTCCCAGGGCAGAGCAGCCGGTGGGCAGACACCTGCCTGCACCCCTCGGGGCCCCTGCCCAGGAGTCCCTGCCCGCAGAGCCCGGCCCGGGGCAGGAGGGAGCGGCACAGGAGCGCAGGACAGTGGTCTCGTTCGATGGGATGGAGGAGCCATCCCTGCCCTCCCTCCTCGCAAAGAGAATCGAAATCATCGAATACACCCTCACGGTCAAGCCTGCGGAGCAGTCCCCCGATACAAGCTGTGAGCAGGGCGGGCTGGCTGCGGCCACCCCGTCTTTAGATGAAAACTTGAACCCCTCGATGTGCTTGGAGAAGGCTCCGGCGGATCCCTCGCCCCCGGAGCACACGGTACACAAGCAGGCTGCCTTCGCCGTGGGCAGCCCCAGCGAGGAAGGCAGCGGGACATCTGCTCACCTCAGTGCTGCTTCTCCCTCTGCCCAGGTGACCTGTCCACCTTCAGCCAGCCTCGAGCGCTCTCCTTACCCCTGCATCATTCGCCTGGAAGGTGTCACCGAGCAGAGCACGGCTACAGAGGATGAGCCATGTGGCTCCAAGGGAGATGGGACTCTGCCGTTCAGGGATGGTGCTGGCATCTCAAGGCAGCTGAGCAGCGAGGGCTCCACCAGGCAGTGTGCTGAAAACATGGACCTTCTGGACATCTCGTTCCTGTGTTACAGCCTCCCTCACAGCTCCAGCAGCCTCAGCGTGGAGGAGCGCTCCAGCAGCCCCGGGCCGGTCAAGCAGCAGGCGAAGGAAATAGAGGCTCGGATCCGGCACGCAGGGCTCACCAGACCATCCCACATGAAGCGCTCGGCATCCCTGGCCAAACTGGACTGCCTGGAGCTCTCCAAGGACGACTTACACGACAGGGAGTCGGCCTCTTGCAATGCCAACCCGGTGCTTCTCACCTGCGTTGCCCTCGGTCGAGGCTTTTGTGGGGGGAGGTTGGAGAGGGGCTCGGAGAGCGCGTGCGGGAAGCATCGCCTCTCCTCCCCAGAGCCCACAAAGCATTTTGTGGAGCAGCTCAGAACAGCCGAGTGCATTGCCCAGAGCATGCCGGTGGAGAGGCCGCTGGCTCAGTACGCCAAAGAGTGCAGCTCCAGCCAGCAGAGTTTGTGTTCCAGTGCAGATCCCACGTGGACTAGCTCCGGAGAGGGCCCTCCGCTGCTCCAGGTGCAGGTCCTGGACTCCTTGTCTCCATCTCAAGCTCTGGCTGTTGCCCCACGGCAGCAGCACGGGAGAACTCACCCTCTGAGGAGGCTCAAAAAGACCAATGACAAAAAGCGGACAACCAATCCCCTCTACAACACGATGTGATCCTGGGCCCTTGGCTGTGATTTCTTACCCAGAACCCGTGGTGTTGCTTTCACGCAAGGGGCAGGTGTAATATAAGGAACATGCACTTTATTGGTTAATTTTATATATATTGTCATTTTACTGTTCCTGGAGCATGTAGGTGTGGGTTGGTTCTTCTGTGTGTGACTCTGACTGCAGGACTGTTTGGGTTTTTTTAAGTTTAACTCGGATAACCTCAAATGTTCTTTTTGTTATTGTTGATAGTTTGTTTTAAAAGAACACCTTTGTCATGAGAAAATTGATGTTGGCTTGCTTTGGCAAGGTGGAGTTTTGCTTACAACCAGATCCCAGTTCCTAACTTGAATTTTCCTCATGCCTTGAAGTGGTGCTGGGCAGTTGGTGGGGTGAGAGCCCCTGTAAATGTGAAGGTTGTGCCAAGGTCCCTTTGTTTGGCCTTTCTTTTATTCTGCAAACTGGAACTCCACCATGCTGGCAGATCCCTCAGAAAGCTGCTTCAGGACAAACACCCTGGGCTTAGTTCAGCTGGTGCTTCCCTATAAGGAGCACACAGGGGTAAATCTTCCCAATGGATGGGCTCCAGTAATCCTGGGCAGCACCAAGACCAGCTCTGCCATCTGCCATGGGGCACACAGGGCTCTCTGCTCTGTGCTGAGGTGGGGCAGAGCTCCTCCAGGAGCCTCATTCACCTCTACCCCCAAAGCCAGTGTTCTTTTAAAACAAACGCCTCATTAGGGTTTTAACCCTCCCATTACTTGAATACTGCTGTGGGCCTTCCAAGTTCATGGCCATATCATCTGTCCTCTGCCCCAAAGCTGTTTGTGTGCTGCCTGAGTTTTCCTCTCCCCTCTGCCATGCTCACGGGTGTTTCTGGTGGCTCCCAAAACTTGAGCTGTTTTTGTTACATGACATACTGCCCTTAATGCATAGCTTTGTCCTCTCTGCTGTCACTCCTAACTCTAGACCCAGAGGGAAAATATTTTCTGGATTTTTTTCTTTTTTTTGGTTTATTTTTTTTTTCTTAAATTGTATATATGATATTTATATGATTTTTTTGTCTTTTCTATGGTTTTTTTTTTTAAGAAGGGCAAGACTGCATTCTGTAAACTGGAAAACAAACCCACGTTACTCAAACTCAGTGCTGTTCTTTGTGATCTGCACAGACGTGGGAGTGGATTTGACATTATAAGCTGTCTTCCCTTTCCAAAAGTGAGCCTGGATGCCAAATGTGTCCCTTCTCTTCCAGTCCTGTGTGAACCCTCGTTGTCCCACTGTGGGAGGGGCACTGTGTGTCTGCCCATCTCCTTCCTGCTGGAAGCTGGGTTCCAGGGGTGCCAGCTGGACATGGAAAGCCATTCTGCAGGTTCTTGCTTCCCTGGAGAAACTGTGTGTGAAGGGCTCTGCTCCAAATTCCAGCAAATTATTTTGTGGTTTCTGAGCAGTTTGGCTAAATCAAAGCTCCTCATTTCTAGCTGTGTGCATCAGCAAGTTGTCCCTGTGCTGTAGAGCAGAGGGAAAGGCCAAGGGGAGCTCTGGGTCCTGTCCACAGTCCCGTGGCAGGTCCTGTCTGAGCTGCTGCTTGGCTGGGGCCCAGACCTGCCCTCTGGGGAGGAGCAAAGAGAGAGAAGATGCAGAATGGCTCAGGCTGCTGAAGCCCAGCATGGAGAGGACATGGTGTGGGAGGAGCAGCAGCCAAGCCCGTGCCTAGAAAGCAGCCCTAAAGCTGCAGAGCCTTGCAGGCTCAGGTGGGACAAACCCTCCTTGAGCTGGAGAGGAGCGCATGGCACTGGAGCGTGCTGGAGTATTGGGAAGCAGCATCTGCCTGCCCTGGGGAAGGGGTGTGAGCTATCCTCAGCCCACAGCTGGTTGGCAAGGTAATGCCACCTTGTTGCCCTCCTGTAGCCCCCAGGATCCTGCTGTGCTGCCTTGCAGCCTGGGCAAAGGTCTGTGAGTCTGTCTGTGCTCCAGCAGCCATGAGCGCTGTCCCTCCCTTTCCTCAGCTCTGGCAGGGGGTTGTTACCCGTGCTGGAGCACAGCCCTGTCCTGGGTCAATCAGCACGTCTTCCCAGGCCATTTCAGTCACTAGAAGTCACCCAAGCCCCTGGCCCAGGAGGCCAGATATTTCTTTGGGACATGTGGCTTCTCCTAGCCCGCTCCAGCTGGCTCCGGAGCAGGCAGGCACTGTGGAAAGGCCAAGTGGCTCATGTCATCTGGAGAAGGACAGGTTCAGTCCTTGCCTCCCCTACAAACTTCACCAGGCCCCACTGCCCACCGTTCTGACCCCAAGGACATGCCTGCCTGCCCCTCCAGGGCTGGAAGGGACTGGTTGCCACCAGCCTGCCTTGCATTGGAAGGTGCATGCTTGGCTGGCAGCATGTCCTGGTGACAAGGATCTGCTCAGGAGGGAAAAGCCCTGTGTAGAATTTTTTCCCTTGAGAAGGCAGGAGGAGGAAAAGGATCAGATTTCTTTGCTCAACTTGATCTCAGGAGAAATGCCCTCTGGGAAGGGTCTTCGATGCAGACCAGAAATGCTGCTTCCTTCCAATACTCGGCTGCTCTCCGGGTGCTTCAGCTGGGGAGAGCAGCAGAGGGGCAGAGGCCCCTGCAGGGAGGTGCTTTGCTGTCCCCTTGTCCTTGGCTCTGGCCCAGCACAACTGGTTTTTCTCTGAGGAGGCTGTGGGCAGGCAGAGGGAGTCGGGAAAGGTGGTTCTCTTGCAGAGTGATGAAGGCCTTGGAGGTCTGGAGGCTCTGAGCAGGATGGCAGGAAGGGGACAGACTGGAGGGGTATGGACCTCCTTTTCCAGTGTCTGGGCAATGAAGCCACCAAGCCCCTGGCATCAGAGGTCTCTGCTGGGGACAGTTGTCCCTTTTCCATGCTGGTGGCTCGTGGGAGGTGATGAATCTCTCCTGGTTCCCGTAGCCACCCCACAAGAGCTTCTTGTGACCTGCTGAGCACCACAGGGAGCAGCAGCACCTCCAGGGTGCTCAGCAGCTGACAAGCCTCGCGGGTAGAGGGGGTTTGGGAGAAACGTGTTGTTTTAAGGGCATTTTTGTACAAAGCAACTGTTCTTTGGTCTCTGGCGAAGCCTCTCGAGGACGCTTTATTGTTTACATTGACTCCTGTACAATATCCCAGCCATCGCTGCCCCGTCCCGGCCGTACTGTAACGTGTGAGCCTTGCACAAACGGACTGTGTGTGCGTGAAACTGGTTTTACACTGCGTTCTGTTGCACTCGGTGGTGTGTGTGGGTGGTGTGCGTGTGTTCGAGTGTGTGTCCGGTCTGCTTGAGAAGTTGTGACCTGTACAAATCTCTCCCCTCTCGGCCCTTTCCTGGGGGCACAGTCCCAGCGGGTGGCAGGAGGTGACACCCTTCTGGGTCACTCGGATGTTTAAACTGAGCAGGGATTAGCTCAGTGTCCCTCTGCCGGCCAAGGCCTGGTGGAAAGGATCCTGCCCCACCGCCGGCTGCTCCGGGGACCTCCTGGGAGCAGCGAGCTGGGAATCCGTGGCCGGGAATCCGTGGCCGCAGGGGCGCTGCGCCTGCCGGAGGCTGCAGGAGCCTCGCAGCTCTCTGGCAGGAGGAAGCCATACCCACCCCAGGGCCCTGCTCCCTGCACGGTGCGTCCTGCCTTAATTTGGTCCTGGCTCCACACAAACACCCCCAGTTTCCCCAGGGGAGGGGCCCCGAGCCCTTGGTGTGGGGCAGAGGCAGGTGCTGGCCTGGCGCAGGAGGGCCCGGGCTGGTGCGGGGCTCGGTGCCTGTCCGGCAGTGCTGCCAGAGGTGCTAACAGCCTGCCCACGCTGCAGACATCTCTGTTGGCACGAGAGAAGGTGCCAGTGCCTTTTATTTTCCTTTCTGGAGATGTGACGTCCGTGCGCTGGTTTGTAGGGATTGTCCAGGGCCGAGCAGCTGGCGGTGGGGTTGTGAATCAGGGAGGGGAGCGCTTCTGTCTGCCCCTCCTGGATCTTCCTTGGTGGCTGGGATCGTCCCCTTTCCCCCTAAAGACTTTATGACCGATGTGCTCAGCTGTTTTTAAATGTGAACTTGTGCACTGATGTGCAGATTCAATGTTCTTGTTACCGAATGAATAAAAGTTTTATTTTGAAGATGACAAAGGTGTATGGCTTCCTATTTGGGATGGGGGCTGGGGGTGAGGGATTGATCTGTGCTGCTCTCAGAGCATGGGGTGGCAGTGCTCTGGAAAGCCAGAGCAGGGTTGTTCCCTCTCGTGGGTGGTCCTGTCCAGTCCCAAGTGATGGAGCCGTGCTTCCAAGCAAGAAGTACTTCCAGACCACACTGCAGTTGCAGAGATTCCGGGGGTTGTGTATTTAAAACTGTCAGGATGCTGCAGGTGCCCTCCTTGCACTGCTGCAGACACAGGAGCTGTGAGGAGGTTCTGGTTTAAGCTCCAAGGGGGACATGAGGTTTTAGCTGGACACTGGACAACCTGTCTCTGGATTTGGTCTTGCTCCATTGTGGCAAGAAAGGCAGTGCAAGGGTCTCTGTGGCCTTGCTGTGAGCAAGGGACTTGAGAAAGCCGAATTCCCTGGGCTCAGCCTCACCATCCAAGCAGGAGCTTCTCACCAGGCCAGAACTGAGTGGGCACCAGGGTGTGGGGCCAGAGCAGCAGGGCTGTCACTGCAAGGCTGTCACTGCAGGTCTGGCAGTGTCTCTGGGGTCCCCCATCCCTTCCTCCTCCCCCGGCACCAGCTGGGGAAAGGCTTCCCAGGGCCTTTCCTTCACTTGCTGGGGATGTGACTTTGGAACTAAGGACACAGAGTGAGCCAGGGCTGTGGTGGGACAGGGCGAGCAAGGGGTGCCTCTGCAGCCCCCTCCCTCCCTGCTACCCCTTTGGCTGGGAAAACAAGGATGCCACCTCTTCCCTGCCTTTTTGCCAGCTGCCCCCTCCTGCCCGCTCAGCCAATGCTCGTCCAGCTCCACATGGTGCCCTTGTAGGGTCCAGGGCTTTGCTGCCTTTCCAGGAACCACCGCTCCCCTCCCTCTGGTCCCTGAGCCCTACAATCCCTTAATCCCCTTGGACCAGGGCATCCCTGCAGGGCTGGGCTTCACTAAATCCCAAATCTGATTTCTGCCTGTGCCTGTAACCATCCTGCTGGGCTGGGGCTGAGGTGGGCTTGCAGACCCTTTTTTCCAGGGGGAGGTGGGGACCCGTGGGATGCCCCCATGACTGCTGGGGCCTCAGGGGCAGCCCGTGGCCACGGTCCCCGTGGGGCTGGGCTGGCCCCGGGCTGGTGGGGCACCCACCGCAGGGTCACAGCCCTGTGCAGAAGCGACCCCCGGGGTGATGCTCCGCCCCTTGGTTTCTCCCAGTACTTCAGAGAGGCTCAGGGGGCTTCTCCTGCCTCCCCTCTCCCAGCCCGAGGGGCTCCCACTCGCGGCGCCGGGGGGCTGCGGGCACCCTTGGGACCCCCCCGCTTTTAGGCTGGGAGCGGGGGGCGGCCGTGCCGGGGCTGCCCCCGACCCCGCGGGCAGAGCGGGGGGCCGGGCAGGGTGCGGGGACAGGCGGGGCCGGGGACGGGGGGGACGCGGGCAGCGGGGCTGAGCCCCCCGGGCCCCGGCCCCTCGCCGCCCGCCGGCGGAGATGGCTATATTTGGACAGTGACCTCTGGTCGTTCCCGAGCAGTCGCTGCGGATTCAATTGTGGCAACGTAATGGCACGGCCGGGGAGCGGGGAGCGGGGCTGTCCTGCCCGTATCCTGCCTGCACCCTGCCCGTATCCCCCTGCACCCCACCTGCACCCCACCTCTCTTTGCCAGCATCCCCTCCCACCCCGCTTGCGCCCTGCCTGCACCCCACCCAGCTCTCACGCCTGCACCCCACACCTGCAGCCTAGCCAGCCCTGCCTGCACCTTGCCAGCACCCCGCCTGCTCCTACCAACCCCTCCTGCGCCCTACACATTGCCTGCACCCTGCTCAACTCCACCTGCACCACATCTGCCCCCCAGCTGCACCCCACCGCTGCCTGCACCCTGCCCGGACAGCCAGGCCGTCCCTTCCTTCCCTTCCTTCCCTGCATGCTGGCACCCCAGACTCTGCTCCACTGGCAATGCTTGAGGGGCAGGGAGAGCATCCCCACGGAGCCTGCTCGCTCCTCCCCGGGGCTGGGGACCATGCCTGAGACCGGGGGGTGACACCAGCAGTGCCGTGGTCCAGCCCCGCTTGGTGGCCAGGCTTGGGCCTCTTAGCACCCAGCTCCAAGCCGTTCAGCCAAGCCAGAGATGATGCTGAAGTGCCGTGGGGACTCCGGGGACACTCAGGGACTGGGCAGATGTGGTTTGGCAGAGTGCTGCATGTGCCCTGTGCAAAATCCACCGGCTGGGGGCCATGGAGGAGCAGATCTGCTCCTGCCTCTGCCCACACCGGCTCTGCGGGCTGGGGACAGGGGTGCCTGGCCATGGTTTGGTGGCTGCATGTGGCTCCTGACCACGGCTGTGTACCCAGAAGAGCACAGGGGATTCCCCAGGGTAGCCAGTGGCTCATGGGTGCTGCAGAGACCCAGCTCCAAGGGTTTTGTGCTCCTGAGTGTCTCAGTCTCCCCGGGGGCAGGTCCCAGGAGCAGCACAGGCTGGGGGCTGAGATGGGTGACTGTGGGCATCGTGCCCAGCTGTGGCTGAGGGCTGGAGACCCCACTGAGGCCCCTGGGGGGGCTCCTCCACACCCCAGTGTGCCCATGGGGCTGTGTCTGTGCCAGCCCCAGCCCTTACCCAGGTGGGGGTGCAGAGTGGGTGCCAGGGATCTGTGGCACAGGACAGGGATCCATGGAGAGAGGCATGAGCCACCAGCAGGCAGCTCTGGAGGCACAGCCCTCCTGGGTGCTGGGTCAAGCCAGGCAACCTCAGGCCACTGATGCAGGAGGGGATACAAGGGGACAAGCTGTGACCTGGTGCACGGCACCTTTATGTCCACCCCAAAGTCCTCTCCTGCTACTCTGCTGCAGCAGCTCATGTGCCAACCCTAGTGCCAGCCACGGGGCATGGCACAACTGTGGGGTACAACACAGCCACGGGGCATGGCACAGCTGTGGGACATGGCACAGCCATGGGGTATGGCACAGCCACAGGGAATGGCACAGCTGTGGGATATGGCACAGCCACAGGGCATGGCACAGCTGTGGGACATGGCACAGCCGTGGGGTACGGCACAGCCACAAGGCATGGCCCGGCCACAGGGCATGGCACAGCTTTGGGACATGGCACAGCCACAGGGCATAGCACAGCTGTGCATTTTGGCATGGCCATGTCCCTGCTCACTGTCAAGTGGCTCTGGCCACCAGCTGACAGCCTCCAGCAGCACTTGCAGCACCCCCACATCCCTGCACAAGGGCTGCCCCTGCTCCCTGATGTGGGGTCAGGGCGGCACCATCTCCCACCCTCGTTCCCCGCCACCTCAGTGTTCCCAGGCTTCCCGCTGTGCCCAGAGTAGGAGGAGTCTCTCGGAGCACGAGGCCTGAGGGGACCCAAACCCCTCTGAGCCGTGCCAGGGTGGGGAGCTGGTGGCCTGACCGTGTCCCCCCAGCCATGAGCCGCCGCGTGGTGCGCCAGAGCAAGTTCCGGCACGTGTTCGGGCAGCCGGTGAAGGCAGACCAGATGTACGAGGACATCCGTGTCTCCAAGGTGACATGTGACAGCTCCTTCTGCGCTGTCAACCCCAAGTTTGTGGCCATCATTGTGGAGTCCGGCGGTGGCGGGGCCTTCATTGTCCTGCCCCTCGCCAAGGTGAGTGGGGAGGATGCTGGGGTTTGGTCACGCTGCTGAGATGTGTTGGGGGGCACGTGCTGATGGGTTTTGCTTTTGGGGACCTTCTGTGGCCCCAGAGCCCCCAGCTTTGCCCCAGCAGCCCCTCCTCATGTGGGGGCTCAGGGCAGGAACAACCTGGGGGATCATCAGCACCTGCCAAGGCTGACATCCCTGGGGCAAGCGAGGTGATCTGGAAAACCCCCAGCTGCCTTCCCCCAGTCGCAATTCCCTGGGGGCACAGCATGCCCAGGGAGCAGCACCCAGTGGAGTGGGGGTCTGCCCTGCCAGCCCTGGCAAAGAGACTGGGAGAGGGTCCCCAACCCCTCCTTGCCATCAGAGCAGACACAAACCAGCCTCTCATGGGTCACATGATTCTCCTCTGTGTCCTTACGAGGTTTTGTGCCAGGTAAATCCCATTTGCCCCATGTGCCTCAGTTTCCCCCTTCAAGGCAGGTGCAAACCTCTGGCCACTGCCAGAATCCCCTGCATGTCCCCATTTGTGCCATGTGGTGGCCAGGCTGGGCTGTGGGGGGTACCTGGCAGGGTCTCTCCGAGGGGACTCATCCCGGTCCCTCACCGTTGCAGACAGGACGGGTGGACAAGAACCACCCGCTGGTCACGGGACACACGGCGCCCGTGCTGGACATCGACTGGTGTCCCCACAACGACAACGTCATCGCCAGCGCCTCGGAGGACACCACTGTCATGGTGAGGGGCTGGACGCCGTGTGGGAGGGGGTGGCGGGTGCTGGGGGAGCGGTGCAGAGCATCCCCCCCCCTCGCTGCCTGTGAAGTGTCACTGGCCTATTTTTAGCCCCGGTGCCATGCGTTCGCGCTGGCGGCGGCTGCTCGCTCCATGATGCAGCAGTTTGTGCTAAATTTACCCTCCCTGGCGACTCAGCATGCAGGAATAGCTGGGGGGGGGCTGGGGGCTGCACCCCGGCTGTGCCCCCCTCCCTGTGCCCACCAGCACCCCCAGTGCTGGGGGTGCACCCCAGGATGGAGGCGCTTCTGGCGTCCCCTCGCCACCCTCCCTGCAGGCTGAGCCGGGATTAATGATGAGGTTAATTGGCTCCGAGGCCCTCATCCGCTTAGTGCTCACACAGAGGGTGATCCCCAACGCCCCCCTCTCTGTCCCCCCCCAGGTGTGGCAGATCCCCGACTATGTCCCCGTGCGCAACATCACGGAGCCCGTGGTGACACTGGAGGGACACTCCAAGCGGGTGAGCATCATCTCCTGGCACCCCACCGCCCGCAACGTCCTGCTCAGCGCAGGTAAGGGGGTCCCGGGTCACCCTCCCCGGGGTCACAGGAGATCCATGGGGTGACAGCATCTGCCCCCTGGGTCCTCTGCAGGCTGTGACAACCTGGTGATCCTCTGGAATGTGGGGACTGGGGAGATGCTGCTGGCTCTGGATGACATGCACACTGACCTCATCTACAACGTGGGCTGGAACCGCAACGGCAGCCTCCTGGTCACCACCTGCAAGGACAAGAAGGTCCGTGTCATCGACCCCCGCAAGCAGCAGATCATAGCGGTGAGTGCCCCTGCTGTGCCCCCCATCCCACCGCGGGGTCCCCCCCAGTGCCTGCCTGACCCTACTAACCCCGCCCCGCGCGTCTCTGTGTTTGATTTAACCCGCTAACGCCGGCGCAGGAGAAAACCAAACCGCACGACGGCACCCGCCCCATCCGCGCCATCTTCGTGGCCGATGGCAAGATCTTCACCACGGGCTTCAGCAGGATGAGCGAGCGGCAGCTGGGCCTCTGGGACCTGGTACGAGACGGCGGCTCCAGCCCGGCCAGCGCCAACCCCACAGATCTCAGCCCAGCCGGGAGCGCTCCGGGTGCCGGGGATACTCTGGCAACGCTCAGGGAGCATCGTGCAATAGGACTCGGCGGCGGTTTTGGGGGACAGATCCGGACCCCCTCCATATTCCCTCCTTCCCGTGCCCCGTGCTGACTGTCTCCCCCTCCCCCCAGGAGAGGTTTGCCCCCCACGAAGGGCTGAGGCCCGTGCGGGCCATCTTCACGCGGGAAGGACACATCTTTACCACGGGCTTTACCAGAATGAGCCAGCGGGAGCTGGGCTTGTGGGACCCGGTAACGAGGCCGCATGGAGTGCTGCCCTGGGAACTTGGCCCCCCAGACCCCTTGCTAACCCCCCCGCCCCAGGATGCCGCGTCTGCTGCATCCCCCTCCCAAAAGATGCCAAGTTCCCAAGTGTGCCGTGCAGTGCTGGGGTGGGGAGGGGGCTGGGAGGCAGGGGGTGCTGGGGAAGGGGGGTACAGCCAGGCTGGGGGATCCCAGCCATGCAGGTAAACAGGAGTGGGGCTGGGGGGGCATGCCAAACTGCCTGCCTGGGGGGTTGTGTACCCCAGAGGGGACAAGCCCTGTCCCCCAGTGTGCCGTGGCTAATGAGTGTGACTAACCAGGGTGGGGGCTTTGGGGTCACTGCTCACACCTCTCCACCACTGCTCCGGCCCCCCAGAATAACTTTGAGGAGCCCATTGCCCTGCAAGAGATGGACACGAGCAACGGGGTCCTGCTGCCCTTCTACGACGCCGATTCCAGCATCGTCTACCTCTGCGGGAAGGTAACCCCCCTTCCCCGGGGTGCACCCCAAATGCCACCTTGTCCCTGAGGATGCCAAGGCTGGCTAACACCTGTCCCCACCCCCGCAGGGTGACAGCAGCATCCGGTACTTCGAGATCACGGACGAGGCTCCCTACGTGCACTACCTGAACACCTACAGCAGCAAGGAGCCCCAGCGGGGCATGGGCTTCATGCCCAAGCGTGGGCTGGATGTCAGCAAGTGTGAGATCGCCAGGTGAGAGCCAAGGGGGCTGGGGGGAGCCAGAGGGGTCCGGGGGGTCAGCTGGGCCCTGACAGCCTGTGCCCCACGCAGGTTCTTCAAGCTGCACGAGCGCAAGTGCGAGCCCATCGTCATGACGGTGCCACGCAAGGTGAGCCGGGGGGGGGTCCCAGGGGAGATGGGGGCCTGGGGGGAGACACCCCACGTCTCACCGCGCTCTCTCTCCCCCCGCAGTCAGACCTCTTCCAGGATGACCTTTACCCTGACACGCCAGGCCCCGAGCCGGCCCTGGAGGCAGATGAGTGGCTGTCGGGGAAGGATGCAGAGCCCATCCTCATCTCGCTGCGGGATGGGTACGTGCCCATCAAGAACCGGGAGCTGAAGGTGGTCAAGAAGAACATCCTGGACAGCAAACCCCCGCCAGGCCCCCGACGCAGCCACTCCACCTGCGACTCCGACTTCTCTGTGAGTGTCCGGGGGATAGGGACGTGGCAGCAGGGCTGTCCCCCTGCCCTGGGGTGGCATGGGAGAGGCCAGACTCATCAGTGACCCTGTGTCCCCCCTCCCTGCAGCAGCCAGCCTTGGAGGAGGTGCTGGAGGAGATCCGTGCCCTGAAGGAGACGGTCCAAGCACAGGAGAAGCGCATCTCCGACCTGGAGAACAAACTCGGCCAGTTCACCAACGGCACGGACTAGCGCGGTGGCCACGGCCACGACCACGGGCAGGGCCAGGACTGCCCCGGCCTCCCGGGGATTAAAGCCGAGTCCCCACCTTGGGCAGGAGCCCGGAGCCGTGTTCTTTCCCCAGGAGCCGAGGGGGCAGGGAGGGCTCGGACCCTGACCCCTCCTCCACTGGCATCAGTCGCATCCTGCTCCCGGGGTGTCCTGGCACACGGGCACCCCCCTGCAGCACCCGAGGGGGTCCCGCTTCAGTGCCCACAGGCTGGGGCTGCCGAGCACCCCAGCACGGGGACCTGCACGCTGGGCACCAGCAGCCTCCCAGGACAGGGCCAGGATGTGCTTGTGCACGGTGCTACACCCCCACTCCATCACCCCTCACCTCCCCCTGCCCCATCGGCCCCTCGGCGGGTGCTCCTAACCGGCTCTTTGCTCCTTCACCCCTTTAATAAAGGGCTCAGCCACCCTCGGCTGTGTGGCAGTACCAGGGACAAGGAACCACCGTGCCAGGGGTGCTGCCAGCACCCCTCTGCCAGCCCCTGCTGCCTGTGAACCCCCGGCCCGGGCAGAGGGAGGCAGAGAGAGACGAACTTTAAAGAGCATTTATTGGTGTTGGCCGTGGTCGGAGCTGCTCGGGCTCCCCCGGCCCTGGCCCAGATGTTGCTGTGGGGTGCACGGGTGGGTGGAGGGAGGGGCACCAGCTATGAAAAGTCCCAGGGGAGCGAGCCCAGCCCCCCCCACCCCGCAGCCCCCAGCCCCCCGTGTGCAAAGGGGGAGCAGCCGGGGCAGGGGGCCGGGGTTAGCACCATTTGACGTAAGGTTTCTCTCGGGGTCAGTGCCCGGGTGGGGGGGTGCAGCGCTGTCAAGGGGGGCATCCGAGCAGGGTGGAGGGGTGCGAGCAGGGGTAAGGGGGGGGGTGACACCGGGCTGCCCTCCACAGGCACCCCTTCAGCTGCCCCAGCAGTCCCCGTGCCACGGTGGGGCGGCTGAGCAGCCCCTCGCTGGCTGTGGGGTACAATAGGGCTGAGCCCCCACCCCTGTTGGCAGGCAGAGCAGCTCCCGGGTAAGTGCACTTGGTAGCGCCTGGGCAGGGGGGAAGAGGGAGCTGAGCAGAGTCCCCTGGCTCTGGGGGCACCCCGGGACCCCACGCAACTGGCAGCCCACCCATCCGGGGCAGGATGTGCCCCCCACCGCCTTCCTGGGGTGAGGGGCTGAGCAGCACCCCGTGGGGCGGCTGGGGGAGTAGGGGTGTCCTGGAGAAGGGGTACAGTCCGTGGGGTACCCTCCCTGGTCCCTGCCACCCCAGATGCAGGCTTAGCACCCACCCCAACCCTGTGCTGCTGTGGGGTGCCCCCACCTCACCCCGATATTGCCCCAGCTCTGGGGACGTTCTCCCAGTGCCAAATCCTGCTCCCCCATTCCCCATTTACCCTCCGCAGTTCTTGGACTGGCTCCCCCCACACCGCTCCCCCTCTGTATCCCCAGACACATCCCCATCCCCACTGGGGCGGGCGAGGGGCTCAGTGGGGCTGCGGGGTCACTTCTCGGTCAGAGAGAGCTGCAGGATCCGCTGCAGATCCTCTTCCTCCTGGCGCGTCCGGCGCTCCGCTTCCTCCTGCTCCCGCGCCGACAGCGCCATGGCCAGGCGCAGCTGCTCCGCGTAGCTGGGGAACAGCGCCCCGGGCCCCCGGCCGCCCCCCGGCGCCGGGGCCACGGGGGGACGCGGGGATGCCGTGTGCTGGGGAGTCCTGGGGGGCAGCAGGGGCTCAGCGGGGTCCCCGTGGGGCCGGCACCCACACCCACTCCCCCCAGGGGGGCTGGCCAGACCTTACCAACCTGTCTCCCCGGCGGCCCTCGTGCGACATGGGGTGGGTGCCCGGCTTGCTGTTGGTCAGTGCTTCCCAAATGGTCACCTGTGGCCGGTGAAAGAGGGGGGCTTGGAGGGTGGCACCCCAAAAACCAGCTCTCCCCAGCATGAATTCTGACCCGCCACCGTGGGATGCAGGGATGGAGAGAGGTGGGGTGAGTGAGGATCTCAGGTGGCATCGGGACGGGGTGGGCAGCGGGGTCTCTCAGCCAGGAGAAGGTGAAGGGATGGCACTGCTCACCTGGTCGTACTCGCTGCCCGCTTCCAGCAGGCTCTGCTGGATGGCAAACTGCAGCAGGTCATCCTCGTCCTCCCGCAGGGTGTCCTGGTGGGTGCCCACCACGCTGTACCCCCGCGGCACCTCGAACAGCGCCGGGTCCATCTCACACGCTCGGCACGAGGCTGTGGGGACACCAGAGCTGGCCCCTCCTACTCCACCCCTCCAGCTGTGTGTCCCTTACCCTGCTGTGACCCACTCCCAGCAGCTGTCACCCCAAGTGACACCCCTTCCCATCCCACCCCACCGTGTCCCCCCACATACTGAGGGAGCTGGAGCTGCTGACGCTGGAGGAGTCGCTGCTGGGCGAGGGTGCCTCGCTGCTGGGGCTGTGCCGCAGGGAGCTGACTGGCTCGTCACACCCATTGAGGTTGCCGAAGGTTATTCGGGCGTTGAGGATATGGAAGATGGGGATTTCTGCAGGAAAAGGGAAAAAAGGCGAGGAGGGAAGCTGGCTGTGCCAGCCAGGTCAGCAGCAGTGCCCAGTCCATACCGATCTTGACGGGGAAGCCGGGCGGGAGGCGCAGGGTGATGAAGTCCCGCAGTTTGGCGAAGAGCGCGTTGCTTATTGCCATGAGGTCGATGATGGGGGCAACCTGCTCACACAGGGACAGCGGGTGGTCCTCACACAGCCACAGCTTCGCCTTGAACCTGCCAGGGACAGGCGTTGGGCTGGGGACCCCCACCTGTCCCCACCTCGAGCTCTGCAGCAGTGGAGGCGGGGACGCAGGGAGTCCCTGCCTGCTCCTGCCCCTCTCACTTCTGTGTCTTGGTGGTGAGCTCCATGGGCCGCCCCATGTCCCGGTTGCCCAGCTCAAAGTTGGGGTTGAAGTACTCCTCAGGGGTGATGGCAGTGGGGTTGGCGTGGCTCAGCGTCTGCGTGATCAGCGTCTGCATGGAGGCACAGCCCCGTGGGGTGAGAGGGGAGGTCTGACTGCTGGGCCACCCCTTCCAACCCCTGAGACACTCACCCCATTGTTGGGCCCCACGTGCTGCTCAGCGATGCCCAGGAAGGATTGCAGGGGGGTCTTACAGCCTATGGGAGAGGAGGGGGTGAGGACAGAGCCGGGGGTGCCCTGCCCGCCCAGCCCGTGCTGGCTCCACCTTTGCTCTTGCCCTTGTGCTGGTCTGAGAGGTGCTCGGTCCGTGTCCGTGTGATCAGCTCCACGTTGGAAGCGCCATAGACCTGGCCGAGGAGGGGGAATGGCAGAGGTGGGCACCTCACAGCTGCAACCAACCACAGCCCCCCTGGGCAGCTCAACTCCCTGCCCCTCACCTTCGCCTCATACCCATTCACCATTTCCGTCTTCTCGCTCCTCCAGCCCAGGATCCCAGACTTGTTCCTAGGGTGACACGGCACCATGAACTTGCTTGGACAGCCCGGGGTGCCAGCACCCCCGGGGGTGGGCTCGGTGCCACCCCAGCCCACCTCTCGAAGGCGATGTTCTTGGTGTCGAGCTGGGTGGTGACCACGGGGGCCGTCAGCCGCCCCATCACCTGCTCCTCCGTGGGCTGCACAGCAGCCAGCAGCACCTCCTGGTCGTGGCCGGCCAGGGCCAGCGTCTCCGAGTAGACCACCCTCCTGTCATGGTCAATCTCCATCACCACCGCACTGCTGTCTGCAGGGAATGGGGTCAGGACAGCCACGGTCCCCACTGTGTCATCCAGCACCACTCCCCAGTGAGGGGGACATGGCGGTGTCACCTCACCTTGTCCCCGAAAGACGAAGCTGCGGTTGCCCCGCTGCCAGGTCATATGGTCGAAGCCCAGCAGTGTGGTGTCCACCCGCAGGTTCTGGCCACTCTTCCACACCTTGTAGGTGTCGCTGGGGCAGATCTTGGACACCAGGGGCACTGGGGAGAGATGCCGATAGCCCAGCCAGGGATGGGGACACCTGCACCCCTGAGGGGGCTGCCAGCACTGAGCTGGGTGGGGGACACACCTGGGGAACACAATGCCTTGGCAGGATGGGGGTCTGCAAGCTTGGGGTGTCAGGGGGCAAGGGGGCAGTGACCCCCAACCTGGGGATGGGGATGGATGCTGGGACTGGGGGACTCTGCTGGGAAATTCCGCTCCCCCCACAGCCACGCTGTGCCCCGAGCTCACCCCAGCTGGTGAACTCCCACTTCATCTCCACGTAGAAGTCCTGGGCCTGTGGGGAGCACAGGGGGGTCAGGGGAGCCCCGAGGCCGCTGCCCCCCAGCCCTGCTGAGGGAGGTACCTTGCGCAGCTTCTCCAGCAGGACGGGGATCCCCGCCAGGCGCTTGATGGCTCTCTGGTAGTCACGGTAGCGCAGGACCAGCTGCACCAGCTCCAGGTCACGGGTGCTCACAGCCTCCTGCAGGACTGCGGGGCAAAGGGGCAGAGTCCAGGGCCGTGGCACGGCGTGGCACTGCAGAGCTGGGCGCTGCACAGGAGCCACAGGCACCGAGCACCGCATGAGCAGTGCCTGCAGCACCAGGGTGAGCATGACCACGCCTGTGCCCGTGTTCGTGCCCGTGTTCGTGCCCGTGTCCGTGTCCACATCTGTGTCCATGCTCGTGCCCACGCCCATCTCCGTGCCCGTGTCTGCATCAGGCCAGCTTGAAGGAGGATGGAGGGCAGCAGCCACCCGCTCACCTGTCCACCCGCTGCGGTTCTCCTTGCCCACGTCGGCGCCATGCTTCAGCAGCACTCTGGCACACTCCAGGTGGCCCAGCGTGGTGGCCAGGTGCAGGGGAGTGCGTCCTCGGGGGTCCAGCTGCTCGATGTCGGCCTGCCAGGAAGCAATGAGGCTCTGACATCACTGGGGTGGCCGGCCCTTGCTCTCCAATGCTCTCCCACAGATGTGCAGCTCCCAGACACAGAAAGCAGCCAACACTTGACAGTATCTGGAAGAGCAGCCCCACCCCTGACCTCCCCCAGGAGAGACACCTCAAAGCCTCTCCCTGCTGCCACCGCCAGACCCCCGGAGA